AAAGTGCTTGTGTGCAGAGAAAAACTCGTTCGAAAATGATTGTTTACCAATTTCACGTCATTTAAACCAGGCAGTGCCGTATTTGTTGGGTGATAGCGGTTTGTCGAATGTAATCTAGAAATTTCAGAGACCGTCGAACACCGTTAAAGCATTCAACATCAGGTAGGACTTACGCAGCAACGGCTCACGCGTCACAGTTGAAACCATGGCGACCGGACCTGAAGGAGTCGGATGAGGATTTCGACACTGAAAATGAATCTAAAGAGGAAGGTGGGTCTGAAAAGAAGGAATATAAACATAACGAGAAGACGATTGACACCAAGATTCCTGATAAAAAGGATGAACCAAGACGACGATCGAGAAGATTTCAAGAACAAAATGAAAAAGTGAATTGAAAGACAATTCATGTGAAATGAAGTGAAATGTTATTATTAATCAATATATAAGTTGTGATTTTCGTGGTTTTCAATTAAAAATTTTGTTTAAAAAGAAAAAAAGGGAGGGGAAATGGAGGACCATTTATTAGTCGGATGGTCGATCTGTTGGCTATTTTATATTTAAATTGTGGTGTGAGCATTTAGTTCAAGTAGTAAGAAGTAAATGGTAGGGGAAGAGAAAAGGGGAGGACTTCCGATAAGAAAATTGTAGAAGAGTCAGTGTTGCTCAAGGAGCCAAAATGTAAAGACCTGTAATTCGCTTTCTTAAAAATAATAAATCTATTTCGTTTTAACAAAAGTCAGGGTGTGTTTCAAACCTAAAGTCATTAAGTAAATAAAAATTCGCGAAGTCTATCAAAATAATAAAGGTCATTCAAAACTGACAAATTGCCGGACATAGAGTCGAAATTCCGCACCTGTCGTCACAGCAACTATCTGCTCATCAATCGCTGACACAAAGGACAAAACTTCACAGGTAGCTATCCGCCTTCCTCAGGAATCCTCGGAGTCGGTGTTTCCAATTAAAATTTGTCGATGCCGGTCTTGGCAATATGGCGTCGTTGTATGAGTCTCTCATGTGAATTTTGAAGACAATTATGTGAATTAAATTTTTGTCGAACATGAGAAATAAAGGTTTTCTCAGATGTAAAAAACTTTTCTCTCTTAGAATGTTGTATAGACTTTCGCGGATTGCATTTAGAATTTTCAAGAAAATCTAGATTATATTTCGATACACAACATGTGCTCGTCAAGTGGTCACCAATGTGCGATTATTCAACTTGTAATTGCACACTTTGTACAACAAATAAATAATGGAAAGGTTCCCGCAACCTTATGTGTTCAATGATCGAGAAAAATATAATTTTACTATAACGACTTTATTCACTTATAAGATTTCTTCAATCAACGAATATGAAAGAGATGTGACTCGTTCAACTGTAGTTAGTGGACCGATCATCTGCGGACCACGGTCAGGCTAATGTGTTGGCAGTGCACCAGACAATTGGTCCGAAGACCACTCGTGCCTAGCACATTGGTGGACCGATGATTTCCGGACCACGGTCAGGCTTATATGCTGACTATGTGCCAGGCAATTGGTCCAATGACTATTGTGCCAGCATTGTGCAAATATAATCCCCCACAGTACCGAAACTTTCCTAAAAATTTATTAAATATTTACTTGCAATGTTCGGAATATGTAATTGCAATGTTTATTGAAAGTTGTGTAATTATTTAAATGTCCCGATTAAATAAATGTTTAGCGCGAACCTTTTCTGAACATTAATTTAATCGGGACATTTAAATCTTTACACAGTTTTCACTAAACTTTTCAGTTAAATATGCCGAATATTGCAAGTAAATATTTAATAAATTTTTAGGTAAGTTTCGGTGCTGTGGGGGATCTGTCTGACTTATTTACAAAGTAAAGAAGTTTTAAACCGGTATTCAAGTTATTTCTTTTCTACAAATTGTTTTTATTAACAATTTAGTCATTTTGACCAATTTATATTACTTTGCACTATTTCTATATACAATGTGACCTGGCCATAATTTGATTAAAAGTTTTTAAAATTTTTTTTAAGTCAAAAGAAACAAGAGCGTAAAATTAAGAAAAAACTAATTTTTCGTTATCATACAAATTAAAATAATTGAATAAAACTAATTAATAATGTTACTAATATAAATTACATGTGGACGACATTTTAAACAAATTTTAATTGCAATTTTTAAACAGTATTCATTAAGGCACTTTTCCTATATGACGGACGAAATTTCAGGCTTTTTTCAGGAATTTTTTTTACAGAAAATGAAATATAATTCTATAATTTATTTTACATGTTATAATTGGTGTCTAAAAATATACAAAAAAATTTTTAAGTGATTTTTTAAATCATTTAATAATTATTTTTATGAGTCAAAGCTGACTCCTTTGAAAATGATCGGGTGAACGGTCGCAACGATAACTTTCTTCAGTACTGTCTGAACTAAAAAAATCAAACGTAGTTTTACTCAGTAGGCTTACTGTTATCGCGTGAACCTCAATAAACAATTTATCTTAATAAATAACAAAATGGCGGACTGTTAAAAAAATATCAAAAATCGCTTGTTTTTTCGTAAGTAATTGTTTAAAAAAATAGGAAAATGTTTATGTAAAATCATGACCGAGGTTCACACGATAGACACTCATGTGTAGAATAATGCTTCTAAATTCCAGACCGATCTGTTTAATAGATTTTGAGTAATCCTTGTCACCAGTTAGAAAAAAGTGGTTTTGAGAAAAACGCGTTTAAAGTTTTAGTAGCTGTAGCTCGCGCCCATGCACTGTTTAATTCTACGCGCTGTAACTTTGTTAGTTTTTCAAATATCTGTCTAAAACTTTTACACGATATTTCTAAGATATTGTACTTTCGAAACATGCAAAAAAAGAAAAATCGATTTTTTCAAACCGTCACATAGGAAAAGTGCCTTAAGAAGATTTGCTTTAGTGGCCGACTACTCTCTGGTTTATCCTAGTTCATTAAAAAAATTGTACTGTATTAACATTGTTATTAATTTCTTTTTGTAAAAAATTGGAATTTATGTTTAGTAGTATATTAACCTGGCTAATATTTAGATTTATTCAATTTCCAATTAAAAAGTAAAAGTTAATATATTCTGAAATATAAAAATTAAATTTCATATAATTATTGCTTCCTCATGAGGAAGCTTTGCACTCGTGACGATTTTCAATTTTTCAAAAGAAGGTTATATGGACTCATTTTCATCTATAACATATGTATATTCAATTCTGAGCAAATGTCCACATGTATGTGTGTGTGTATGTCACAAAAATTGTGTACAAATTATCTCAAACAAATTTTGATGGATTGTCCTGAAATTTTGCAGGTTTATTGCAGTCATTAATACCTAAAATCTGACACAAGGATTTTTAAAAATGTCTAAAAAAATTTTTTATACAATTTTTTTAAAATTCAAAAAAAAAATTTTTGTATTTTTGGAAATAATTTTTTTATTTGTTAATATTTTCATTAATTATTTTCAAAATTACATTCCTGACAAGAAAACGAATCGATTGATATATACAAAGTATATTTTTTATCAAACTTTATAAAATTAATAGATATTGCTTCCTCATAAAGGAAGCTTTGTATTAGCAAAATTTTGGATTGTCATTTTTTGACATATTTATAAATTTTTTTTTATTATGCCTAATACTTTAGTACTTTATATATGCACAGGAACTCGCCGTATAAATGTTTTAAATAAATAAAAAAAAATTCGACGTATTTTGAACACCGAAGTCCAAAAAACGGATTTTAAAAATTTGTCCCGATGTGTGTGTGTGTGTACTAACATTACATTTGCCTCAATATCTTAGAACGAGAAAGAGCTAAAGGCCTCAATTTTTTTTAAATTGTAGGTCTTCTCGGGGGACATAAAATGAGAGTATTTTCGGCCCGATTCATGAGGTTTAACTATTTTTTTTTTGCATTTTTCATTTTGTAAAAAAACGTTTTTTGGACGTAACTTAAAAAAATGTTTGGACACTTATAAATGTTTTTCTTTAGTTTTGTAGAGTTTTTTCACACGCATCTTTTGAGCCCTAATTGAATATTTTTCGTTCATATTAACCGGAAATATTAAACTTTAAAAAATCAAAAATTTTAGAAAATAAGACTTTTTTGAAAATTTTGTTGAAAAATGCAGAAGTTTAGTTTTGTTTTGTATTTAGTTTTGTAGAGTTTTTTCAGACGCATCTTTTGAGCCCCAATTGAACATTTTTCGTCCATATTAACCAAAGATATTAAACTTTTAAAAATCTAAAATTTTGAAAAATAAGTCTTTTATAAAAAATTTTTTAAATTATGTAAAAGTAACTTTAAAAAATTATTACCAACTTGAAGAGCATTAAAAAACGCTTCGATTGACCTATTTTTGAACCTGATTCAGGCAGAAATTATTGGTATTTGAAAAATCAAGAATTGTGGAAAATATCATTTTTTCAACATTCTTGTTTATTAACTTATGTGTAATTATTAAACTATTATTACCATCTTATAGAATATATAAAAACACATTTTTTGGACCAAGATTTAATGATTTTTAACCCTTTTATAAAAAGTAATTCTTATATTTCAATTATTATTATTTCTATGAGGAAGCAAAGTGTTCATGAAATGAACACCAAAATTATAAAAATGTACAACTTGGCAGCGGTTTTTTTCTTTATCACAAAAAATTCAAATTTTGTATTTTTTCATAATTTAATTTTATACATATGTTTAGATGGAGTTTGCTAAAATTTTGTAAGTGAATTACGTCACGAATTTATATTTTATATGTTGAGGAAGCTAAATGGTCATGAAATGAACAACTTGTTATTTTTGTATTACCTATATTTAAAAATTCTTTTTTAATCAACTCAATTAACAAATTTAAAATATTTACATTGTAAAAAATTCTTAATATTCGTTATTATTATTCTTTGTATTAAATATTAAACATTTGAAAAATTGTTTAATGACTTTGCAAAATAATAAACGTATCTATTTCACGTGTTTGTTACAAGGGATATTTTATGAGAAACCATCAATAGTCTCCCTTGGTCGAGCGCGTCTAGGTGCCTCCCAGAACGGTTGAGCCCTGTAGTGCACTATATGATCGAGTGTTCGAATCTCGGGTGTCACAATCGTTCGGGAAATTCTAAAAATGCATTTTTTTTATTTATTCTATTTTTTTTATTTATTAACATTATTAACATCAAATTTAAGAAAAATGTAACACTCTCCTGATTTATTACATTACTTTTATCTACGTATTATATTTTTGTTGACAAACCGCATTTCGGTCAATTTTTTTTAAATTTTGTAAATGCGTAGATCTTACTATTAACTATTTAGATTTTAAATGTCATGGAATATTCTATAGAACAGTTCAATCGCGAGCGTGCTACCTTTAGATAGTATGACAGTCGTCAAATTTCTATCCAATTGAAATAGTAGGTCGCCCAAAATTTTTTCTGTGTACTCTCCGCAGAATTCTACGCCCAGAGGCGTAGGATATTTTCTGAACTTTCACATAAGTTTAACTGAAGATACACTTACATGGAATATATATACAATGTATGTATAAGTATAGAGTGTATGTATAAGTACCCACATAAGAAATTATAAGGAATCTTGAATAGAACCCCTTATGCATTCTTACACTGTAATAATGGTCATACATATGGCCCCTTTAGTTATGCAACTCTTGTAAGTTTCTTAAGTTAACATCTTAATAATGCTCTGCAAAGTATTGTTCTATTTGAAAGGAGAATAAAACATAGTTCAATTATATACTAAAAAATTTTAATTCGATGTTTCTATTAAATTAATTGTTACTAAATATGTATAAAAACTTATACCAAAAAATTGCGTTATTGTTAAATTTGAATTATTTTTTAAATTTACATATTCTGTATAATTGTATATATTTACTATCTATTAATAATAAATTTGTAGATTAATTTGTAGACAAACTATTTAATTGCCCTAACTTAAATATCACACAAAGTCTTTTCACTTGTTATTTAATAAATCAGTTAAATTAAATTTAGTTATCCATATTTAGGTTTCGATAGCTACTGGTTGAGCTTTTGCTGGTCGTGCTAAAAAATGAAAAAGCGTTAGTATTACAATTACAATCTGCATTATTAATAATTTGTAATTCATAAAATAAAATATATCCATACTCATGCAAGATTCTGGTTGGAATTTAATGTCGTCAATGGCAAAGCCTCCGTTACTAGCTGTTCCTTCCAAAATAAGTCGATAAGGAGCCCGCGCCTCTATCGCAAATTGGGCTGCTACCCAAGACGGTCTGATGTTGTTAAATCCTTTCGCTGTCAAGTGCCAAAGCTAGAAGGAATAATTCATGCATCTTATTTTCACTGTCCTCAAAACATTTCTTTATACTTAAATTAATTTTCGTGTAAAAAAATAATACTCTAGTTAAACGAATGACATTTTTACCCTATCTTGGACCCTATCTGAAATCCTTATAAACAAGATTATAGTAATAAAGAATATAATTAGAAAAAATTTATTTTCATGAGTCATTCATTGTCACCAAATGTGGTTTTGAATTTAAATTGCCGAGAATATGTGCCTACCAATTCCTTGTCTTCACTCTCTTCATCGTCACTGATCTTATCTCCTTCAATTGAAACTTTAATAATTCTCAAAGACGTTGATTCTTCAACTCCAAATGCGGCAAACCAAAATGTAAAACATAATGCTGTTTCATCAGGCGATGTATTAATCACCGGTGATAAAAGTTGAACTGTAGCAGATTTTTGATTTGTAGTAAAAATATCAAAGAAAACAAAATCTCCTGTTGCACCAAAAGTTTTGTCTAATAATTGTGCTGGCCTATGAGTTAAGAAGGCTCTCTGCCAAGTCACAGTTCGATCATTTACAGCTGCCGTTTTATTTTCCCAACCACATAAACCTTTCTCAAAACTGCAATCCTCAGGCTTAACAGTTGCACTCATTGGTCTTACTGAAAAAAATTTTAATAAAAGTTTGTACTACTTTATTAAAAATTGTTTCTACAAAATTATAACTTTCTTAAAAGTCTAAAAAAAATTTAATTAATTACCAGTGCAATTTCCAGTGTAAAAAGCGACATCGTCAATAGCAATGCTTCCACTTGCTCTATTGGGTCCCCATGTACCTTCAAAAATTATATTAAAATCCTTTCTTTCATTGATACTTGTCTGGGCAAAACTCCAAGTTGGTCCTTGATTATTATAAAGCTGCCATACAGGATTTGCATCTGAGGAACTCTCCCCGAGAGTTTGAACCAAAACACGAAGAACGCCTAAAAAATACATAATACTTAATCGTCAAAACATTAATACCCGATTAAAAATTCGAATTGGAGAGAGTTTCCATTATTACAACACGTGTTATAAATAAACAACTTCCATTTTTTGAGACAACTGCAGTAACATGCAAAAGTTCACATACAAGAACTCGTGGAACTTTATTTTGATTCATAAACATGTACATGAATTGAAAAACATTTCTAAGAATTTTCGAGTTTTTAATTTCAATGTTTTACCTAAACTAGGTCCAGTTGAGTCGATGAAAGATTCAAACATAAAATACCAGAAGGTGATGCAAAGAGGATCATCAGAGCCTTTAAACTCTCGACTCATTAATTGAGCAGTTCCTCCACCAGTATTTCTACCTCCTCCTCCTCCTCCTCTGGAACGTTGCAAACCCAAAAAATACTCATTTCGACGACTAACTGTATGTCCATTGCTATAAGGTTTTCTTTGATTTCTAGAACTCAGAGTTGAAGTTGATATTCTTTCCCACTCGACACGGTCTGGATCTCTAGAGTTTACCCACTCGCATTCATCAATTTCGAAAGTACAGTCTCTTGCAAGAGGAGCTGCAACTTGTGGCATTGCTAGCAATACAAGAAAGTAATAATATGAATTAAGTATTTCAGTCACAAAATTACAAAAACATTTAAAAAGGCGAGATGAAGAAGTTAAAAATAATTCGACGAAGCAAAGTAAAAGAAAAGAAGAGAATATAAAAGTTTCTCACTTGGACAAACGCCAGAAGTTAAACTGATTTCATCTATCGCAATGTCTCCCATTCCTGTGTTTCCCACAGAAGCCTCAAAGATGAGTTGATAATCATCCAGCGAACTAATGGTGACTTCTGATTTAAACCACGCATTACCAGCATTTCCACTGAGTGCCCAAATCTCTTGCACTTCTGCATCCAAACTCCGCAAATGGCGAAGATGAATTTTTAGGTTTCCAATTCCTGAACCGAACATATGAAACCAAAAATGCATACACATTGGAGATTCTGGCCCTGTGCCGGGGAAAGTGATACTCATTAGTCGTGCTGTGTCTCCAGGTCTTCGAGGATATCTAGAGTCAATATAAGCATAGCCACCAGCTGTTGCTCGATCGCTGGAACTGTCCATCGCTGGTCCTGTGGTAGGATCATTGCTTCCTCTGCTCTTTAAGAAATGTTATTTTTTAAAATAATTAATTTTAAAATCTTTTTCTTCCAACAGTACACCGTGGAAAATTCACATAATTATTAAAACGAATATGGGATCCTATTTAAGATGAGCATAAAATCTCTCATGCGATCGTTATATTTCATGAACCTGTAAAGGTCTGCATACAAAATTTTGGATAGGATTCCAGAACTGTTCTTACAAATAGATTTTTTCATACAGTCATCTGTAAGAACCCATATAAAAAATCACAATGGATCTTGAATGAAATCCCATATGTTTATTTACGTAGGAATTTTTAATAGAACGAGTACACCACTTTAAACAACTTACAATTGTCCAATCAAAATCATCTTCAGCATCATTGGTCCAATCACAGATACCACCTGCAAAGTTACAAAAGCCAGCACATGTAGGGCCTATTTGAAGGTCGATATCATCTATCGCTATATAGCCACGATAAAGCCTAGAAGGATCAGCAGAATCTACAGGTACACCTTCAATTACGATCTAAACAAAACCATGAAAATAAAATTATAAAAATAAAAAGAACACAGACATTGAAGATTTATATATTTTCAAATTTAGTTAGAAAAAGTATTTGTAATACCGAATGTAATTCCGGATAAGTGTAAAGAATATGAGCCTGCTGCCAAACTCCGAGAATATTATACTGTGCATGCCAGAGAACTCTCTCATTGCCACTGTCAAAAGGTTTACTTGAAGTAGATGTTGCAGTAGCCGTAACATTTTCAATTGGAATTTCATCAGCCCTTTCTTTTTTTATTGAATATTCGTCTACTCCCATATGTAAAAGTACTCTAAGACCAGCAGAACTTAAGCCATTTATTGCATACTTAAACATGAAGCAAGTTCCAGAGACTCCTGTGCTTCCCAGCTGAGGACTGTGCAAAAGACCACCGTGACTTCTTGACTTTGTATCCTTAGGTGGAACATGTGATGTTTCCAGAAAGGCATATCTAACAAAATTCCAATCAAATTAACAATGTGTTAAATGATTTTAATCAACAGATTTTAAATATGTGGACAAATTTAAAAGTATCTTTAGTACGCATTATTACTATATTACCTATATTTCAACGTAGACATTATGTACTACCCAAGTAAAGTACCCTGGCTTTACTAACGTACAAAAAATCTACATTGACGTGGCTAATAAATTACAATCACGATATTAAACAGAATTTACAAAATAATTTTCCTAGCAACTCATTACTGCAATTACACTTTTGAAAAAGGTTAGGATTAATGAAAAATCAAAAGTTATAGATACTTTTAATACTTTCTTGATTGAATACGGCTTTATGGAATGAGAATTTTTAGAAGTAATAAAAGCTTTAAGAATCTATGTCACTTTTCCAGCGACAGTAGCTTCGCGATAGAAGCTTCTGCAAGTTGAAAATTGTAAAACATTATTTGCGAAAAAATAATTAGAGAAAGCCGTTTAAAAAATCTTTTATTTTTAGAAATAGAAAGAGACAAAACAAAGTAATAAACCTGGCAATGTTGTTATTAATAGATTTGAGTATTTGACAAATATAATCTACTAGCTGCAATCTAGTAATGTTGTATATCTATTAAAAATTAAATTTATTAAAATTACAAACATTATTTGCATCACAAATTAATTAGTGATCGTTTCGAAATGTTCGACCCATAAGTCTAGTCACATTACTAAACCAAATTCGTCGACAGCATTTAATTATGATAAAGTTTGTAAGTAAAAACAAAACGTCTCAAATATAAAAACATTGTTATAGAAATAAATTATTACAAAATTTACTATCTTAAAAATAATTGTATATATAAGAAACGTCATTTGATTCAATCTCTCAAAATTAGAAAAAATGGAAATGGATTTGTCATGCTTTGAAAACTGTCTTCTTAAATATTTCATTCATGTTGAAACACAATATTTCTTTCCGTGCATGCTGTATAATTTCGTAAATTAATTTATTAAAAGTCTCACCCTCCTTCCATGGTTCCTGCAGTAGAATCGATAGGTGGACCACCTAACCAATTGGTACTTAGGCCAGTGCCTGTAGTCCATCGCAAGGCTCCATGTCCATCTTGCCACTCACAGAGCGACTGCACGGGGAGAGGACCAAAATCACAAAATACTTCATCAACTGACGCTGTCGGCGGAGGTGCAGTAATCTCAGGATTTCTATTCAAAATTTTTTAATTTAAAGTAAAGTATAAAATTCTTAAATAAGTAAAATATTGTAAGAAAAAGTTATGAGAAGAATAAATGAATAGTTGGAGAGTCAATATATGACCAAAATCACAAAATACATCATCAACTGACGCTCTCGGTGGTAGTGCATTTACCACGGGATTTCTATTCAAAATTTTTTAATTTAAAGTAAAGTATAAAATTCTTTAAAAAAAGTAAAATATTGTAAAAAAAGTTACGAGAAGAATAAATGAATAGTTGGAGAGTTAATTTATGAATGATTTAGGATAAATTAATGATTTTTTATTAAGTTATTAATATTATAAGTAGGTGCTGGGTATTTAACAAGATTATTTGCACATCGAAATAAAACTTCGTAGCTTTTTCTCTTGGGTACTCTAACGAAATAAAGCAGTTTTAATTTTAAATTAATATGTTTATCGAAAGATGTTCCTGGTAGAGAAACATTAAAAAGATGCCTTAAGGATTTTAGAAACCCACACAGCACCGAAACTTTTCTAAAAATTTATTGAAGATTTACTTGCAAACTTCGAAATATTTACTTGCAAAGTTTAGTAAAAATTGTGTAAAAGATTTAAATATCCTAATTCAATAGATTTTTATAGAGATTTATTTAAGATATTTAATTTATTTGTAAAAATTGATTCGGAAAATTGATAGCTTCTTTCACCTTTAATGTTTACTAAACTTTGCAATGAATTCTTCGAAGTTTGCAACCTAAATCTTTAATAAATTTTTAGGAAATTTTAGTCAGGCAGGAGAAATTTTGTTACGTCGTTATGACTTTTCTTGTTTTTTTGAAGATTCAAAAAGATAAGTAGGAAATAATTTTTAACTTATTTATTTATTGACAATATAAACGGGCTAGATGCCCTTTGTATAGTGCATTGTAATTAAGGTACATAAACGTAAAATACTGTGAGCCATATTGGCATCAACATCAAATAATAAATGTTTCAAATTTGTTTTAAAAGAAGATAAAGAAACTCCAAAGAAATCCAGCTTATCACTATATGGGTTAGCAACTCTAGCAAGTCTATTATAAGTAGAATAGTAACAATAATTGGTTCTGTTAATTGATGTACTAAGAGGCAAATAGTTTCTGAAATTATATTATAAATATATTATAAATTATTTTATTATAGGTGCAGAAAAATTAATGCGTTCCGAGACTGATGGACATCTCATCAATCCATTGAATATTTTGAATAAGAAAATGAGATCGTTATATAAAAATCGGGTTACAATTTTTGGTATTTTAAGTATTTCTCGTATATATTATCGTAATCATGTAAATAATAATCAAATGGAATGTTTAAATAATTGTTTGGTTGCAAAACGTAAAAAACGGTTCTGAACACGCTCTAATCTCAATATATATAAGTACTGTAGTATGGAGACCATGTTACAAACACAAATTCAATTAAAATGAAATGTTTTTATTCAGAGTGATACCAAGGTCCCGCATTTGTTCCACCCTTACAAGTTCAAGATTATTGATATTATAATTAAAGTTAATACTCTTAGTTTTTCTTGTAAAAGAAATAGTCGTACACTTAGATATATTCAATTAAATTTTAAAAGTAGAGCATCATTTATTTAAATTTACTAAATCTGTTTGCAAATTAGGACAGTCATTAAGAGGATGTATAGGCAAAAATAATTTAAGATCGTCAGCAAAAAGCAAAAACGAACAATACTTGAACACTGAAACAATGCCATTAATATAGAGTAAATACAAGAGTGGTCCAAGTTTAAAGAGCCCGGAGGCACTCCAGAAAGAACTAGAAATACTTTAGAGTAAGAATCACTAACTCGTACGGTTAAAGGTCTATCTCTCAAATAGCTGTTAAACCAACCAAGTAAATTATAAAACAAAAAATATTTTTAAAAAATAGAAATTAAATAAATTTATTTGAATTGCAAGTGAAGACTCCCATTACCCCACGTTTTAAGTTTCTAATTTAACATAATTAAAGATAAATAACGAAAGGAGTAAAAAATAACCAAAATAGTATACTATTATATGAGGATAAGTTATTTTTTTAAAAATGATTCTCCTTAAAGGGCTTCAATCCCCCCCTTCCACTAATTATCCTATTGAATTAAAATAATATTTCTCATTCCCATCTTGTGAGTAACATTACCCCTGAGAGGAAGGATTCCTTTGAGCTAGAGTCGTCGGACTGGTGGCTCTTCTCGGAGGAAACAGCCCTCTTGCTGTTGTTGCACTCGTTGGAAAAATGTCTGACCACTGTCTGGGTTCAATATTCTCCACTTCATCAAATGGTTCTCGGTCACGATCTCCAGGGTCACTTCGAGCTTCTGGAGAAATAGCTTGAACACCAGAATCATTTGGATTCTGGGAATCTATTAAGCCATCTACGTAAAAAAGGGATTTTAACCTCATGGTCAACAAATCAAAAAAAAATTCGAAATTTTAATATTTAATAACAATTCTTAAAATTACCAATTAATATAGGTACTGATTCAGTTTGATTTGATGAAAGCGATACATTGTCAGCTCCAACCAAATCTATTTGTTCTCCGAACATTGGTTGTGAAGATTTTGGATACCATGTCAAGGCTCCGGCATTCGTAACAAAAAACAAGAATAAAAGACGAATACATTCTGAGTTTTGCATTATCGAAATCCAAAAATTCGAAAAACTCTTTTTATACTATTTCAAAATCTGCATATTTTATTGCGAACAATTCTTATTTAATTATTATTATTATAAAAACAAAATCCTCAACATTGTATACACTTTTCACTTGATGATGAAGAGAAAAAATATGTAAAAATTTGAAATCCACATTATTTTTTTAGGAAATAGTAATATTTTTTTAAACTTTTTTTACGTTTTTAAACTTTTTTTAAACCGGTCACTTTAGTAAATATTAACACATTTGGTTTTTGTTTAATTATTTTGGTTTTTTTTTAGCTTGAAAACTTCGGACTTGAAAAAAAAGCAAGAGAAATAATTCAATCGATAAATAGTTTAACACGACCACAACGCTTTCAAAGTGTGAACTGAATGATTGTCAGAGTTAGAACACGTTGAATAAGACCAAACGAAATGGGTCCTCTGTTGTTCCGGTCTTTACTTCCGGTCGTCACGCTCCTCGTCCTCGGAGCGTTGAAGTTCGATAACCGTTCATCGGGTGGTATCGAGTGAAGGAGAACATTTATAAAATTTAAATAAAACTATATATAAAAATTTGTAAAAATAATATAAAAACACTTGCAGTATTAGTATAAACATTTTTCTCTTACAATTTATTATTTTATATTAAAAAGCTAATAAAATAAAAATCGAAAAAGTCATTTCAATTCAATTATTATTTTCTAGAATTTTTAACAAAAATTCTTCTTTACATCAATTACTTTTAAAATTTTTTGAAAAAGTTTATTTAGAATTTTCAAATCCATTTGCTTACAATTCAATTTTACGAAATTTAGATTATTAGACAATTCTTCATTTTAATATACGTAGGATTAAAAAATAAAAAACTAAAATAATTTTTTTAAAAATTCAAGTAAACTTTTTCAAAAAAATTAATTCTACACATTTGATAGTTAAAAATATGCAAAATTCCAATCTTCAAAGGTTTTAATTTGAAACTATTTCAAAATTCAATTATTTCTATAAATTCATGCTATTGTGCTTTTAATATTCAATTATTATCTAAAATTGTAATTAAAATTCATTTCTAAATCAATTTTTATTAGAAAATTTTCATAAAATTTTTTAAACAAAAATTAAATTATTTACAAAAATTTTAATAAAATCCTTTGCAAGAATTCAATTATTTTTACAAGTAATAACAATTTTCATATGAATTCAATTATTGAAAAAATGTAACAAAATTCGTTATAAGAATTCAATTATTTTCATAAATAATAGAATTTTTTATAGGATTTCAATTATTTTTAAAATACAATTTTAAATAAATTCCTCGAAAAATGTAGTTATTTTCAAAAAATTTTTTTAAGAATTCAATTACATTTCACAAGTAGAAATGAAATTCTTCCCTGAAATGAAAATACATTCAAAATCTACTATTTTAATAAAATTTCTCAAAAGAATCCAATTATTTAAAAGAAAATTCGATGCAAGAATTCAATTATTTTAAATAATGTAATATAATTCGTTGCAAGAATTCAATTATTTTCATAAATAACACAATTCTTTACAGGATTTAAATTATTTAAAAAAATTAATAAAATTCGTTGCAATTATTTTTTTAAATAATAAAATTTGTCACAGGATTTCAATTATTTAAAAAAATGTAAGAAAAATTCATTGCAAGAATTCAATTGTTCTCCTAAACGTAATAAAATTCTTCAGTGATTTTCAATTATTTTTAATACAATTTTAAGTAAATTCTTCGAAAAATGTAATTATTTTTTAAAATTTTATTAAAATTCTTCGAAAGAATTCAATTATTAATTTTGAAATTCAAATCCATTTGTGTACAATTATGAAATATAATTTTAAATATAAAAATAAAATAAAAAAAATTCTATTTAACTTTTTCAAAAAAACTAATTCTACAAAATTGTCAGTTAAAAGTATGAAAATATTCAAATTTTCAAAGATTTTAATTTGAAACCTTGACAAAATTCATATATTTTAAAAAATTCATGCTATAATGCTTTTAATATTCAATTATTAGGTATCTAAAATTTCAACTGAAATTCAATTTTAATTCAATTTTTATTAGAAAATTCTACCAGAATTCAATTATTTAAATCCAAAAATAAATAATTTATTGAATAATGAAATGTTTCTTAAAACTAAAATCTCATAAAGAATTTGATCATTTATGAAAATAATTGAATTCTTGTAAAAAATTGTATTATTTATGAAAATAATTGAATTATTGCGAAGAAATTTATAAAAAATTTGTAAGTAATTGAATTTCTGTTAAATTTTTATTATTTATGAAAATAAGTAAATGTTTGCGTAAAATTTTGTTAACATTTTTTTTAAATAATTGATTTTTTTCGGAAAATTTTATTAAAATAGTGGATATTAAAAATCATTAAACTGTGGATGGGAAATATTTAAAATTTTACCAAAAATTTTATTACAGTTTTTGAAAATAATTGCATTTCGGAGTAGAATTTTATTATTTATAAAGATAATTAAAATTTTGACGTGAATTTTTTAAAAATTTTTTAACATAATTGAGTTTTTGCGATGAATTTTATTACCTTTGAAAATATTTGAATTTCGGAAAAGAATTTTACTATTTATAATATTTATTTATATAATTGAAATTTTGACGAGAATTTTAAAAAAATTTTGAACTTAATTTAATTTTAGCGAAGAATTTTATTGCTTTTGAAAAAAATTGAATTCCTGCAATTCTTCAAAAATCAAAGTTCTTTAAAATTTGAAATTAAATTCATTGAAAATTGAAATTTTATAAAATTTCAAATTGAAATCTTTATCAAAATTCTAAAAACTTAATTTTTTACATTACACTAACAGGGTTTTTTAAATTTCCAATAAAGCAAAAGAGAAATTAAAAATAAAATTCTATAAGGATACATAGAAAACATATTAATTAAAAAAATTAATAAAAGAGAGAAAATATAAAAACTTTCACAAAATACATAATGGAGAAAGAGTATATAGGTATATATTTAATGAATAAATGAAAATTGACTCCATTAAATGAATTTTTATTCACCCGACATATAAAAACAAATTCTATGATTCGAAATCGTGGTATGCGATGTTTATCGGTCCCTTAGAGCCGATATCATTGTACGATTTTAAAACCTTTGTTTTCTCCGAACCATCGCAACGGACACTCGTTGTGTCAGGGAAGCATATATACGCATATAATCATTCTTCGATTTTTCCGAGTGTAATATGCGTTTTAACAATAGTTGAACTAAATTTATTCTTTTCCCTTGCGTGACTTAGAATTTCCACTTTTTTCCCCTTTTTCGACAATATATAAAAGAGTCCATGCTATTAATTTTTTAATAAAGGTGTCATAATACATAAAAAAAAGTTTTAATAATAGTCTCATAAATTAGGTCACATCAATATAAAAAGACAGAATAAAAATAATATGGACTCTGTAATACAAAATATATACCAAACAATAATAAAAATTAAGATTAAATGTAAATTAAAAAAATCTAATAGTGCATAAATATTTTTTTCTTTTTAATTTTTGATTTCTATTTTTTCTTCCTTCTTTTATATATAATAAAATTTATTTTTAAATATGAATTTCTGTACCTATTTTTAAAATTTCTCATTAAAAAATAAAACATTAAACAAACGATACTTTACAATAATATTACAATCTAAAACAAAAAATTTTTAAATCAAATAACCGATTACTTGTCTATTATCAAATAAATATTTACTTAAATCAAATAATTTTGACTTGAATCAAAAAAATTGTATTTGAATCAATAAATTCATTATTAGAAGCAAATACCATTTAATTGATTGAAATAAAAATAATTTGATTCAAGTAAATATTTATTTGATAATACACAAGTAATCGGCTATTCGAATCAAATAAATATTTTATAGTGCAAAACAAACAAATATAGTAAGTCTTTAGAAAATAAAAAAACAGTTTTTAGTTCTTGGAACAATAAAAAAGAATTGATAAAATATTAAAATAGATAAAAATGTTAAATCTCGACTTCAAGACCCTTTTTGAGTCTTGTAATTAAATTAAAAAGATGTTAAACTGTTTTCGGGACAGAGGCAGATTGAGGTTTTAAAAAGTTGAGAAATACTTGCGGAGCAAGCTCCTCCTTTGAGACCGGATGGGTGCGACCAACGTTAAGATAGAGTTTCACGACGATTTTGTTCAAACACGGTGATGAGATCAGTAGTTCCGTTGATGGTCGTGAAATTGCAGTTTTTCTTAACATTTTGGAAATAGTGCTGATTAAATTTCCACTCAAGCCTTTTGTCAAGGACTTTGGCTTTTCAAAAATCACCATTTTCATCAATTCCGAATGAGTCTGAAAAATAATTTACAATAGCGAATTATAAAAGAAAAAAAATTAAAAAAACACAGTAAATCGTGAGGTATTAAAAAGCGTTGCAGATCAAATTAACACAAAAAAAAATTTTAAAAATCGAATTTGGTGTTATTTTTTACTATGAATGAAATTTTACTTTAAATCAAAACCAAGTCAACGGATTACTAACTAACTTAATAACTACCTTAGTTACTATTTAACTTCCTAACTGACTTAGTTACTAACTTACTGACTTAGTTACTAATTAACCTACTAATTTAGTTACAAACTTATTAACCTATTTAATATTATTATTATTAACCTTATTAACCTATACTTCGTTACTAATTAACCTACTAACTAACTTAGTTACTTAATTAGCTCGCTAACTAACAAAGTTAGTTACTAATCAACTAACTAACTTACTAATTAACTTACTAACTAACGAACTAACTTAATTACTAAGTTACTAACTTAGTAACATATTTACTAATTAACATACTAACTTAGTAATATAGTTACTAAATAACTTACTAACTAACTTAGTAATTACTAAGTTAGTTAGTTGGTAAATCAATTAGTAAGTATGTTACTAAGTTAGTAACTTAATAATTAAGTTAGTTCATCAGTTAGTAAGTTAATTAGTAAGTTAGTTAGTTGATTAGTAACTAACTTTGTTAGTTAGTAAGCTAATTAGTAACTAAGTTAGTTAGTAGGTTACTTAATATCTAAGGTAGTTATTAAGTTAATTAGTAGATTAATTAGTAAATATCTTAGTATGGAACAATGTTACTAAGTTAGTAATTAAGTTAATAAGTTTGTAACTAACTTAGTTAGTTAATTAGTGACTATGTTAGTTAGTAGGTTACTTAATAGTAACTAAGTTAGTTAGTAGGTTACTTAGTAACTAAGGTAGTTATTAAGTTAATTAGTAGATTAATTAGTAAATATCTTAGTATGGAACAATGTTACTAAGTTAGTAATGAAGTTAATAAGTTTGTGACTAAGTTATTAAGTAGGTTAATAAGTAACTGACTTAGTTGGGAACCATGTTACTAAGTTAGTAATTAAGTTAATAAGTTTGTAACTAACTTATTTAGTAGGTTAGTTAGTAACTAAGTTAATTAGTAGGTTAGTTAGTAACATACTTAGTTAGTAGGTTTCTTAGTAACTAACTTATTTAGGAACCATGTTACTAAGTTAGTTAGTAGGTTAAGTAGTAACTAAATTAATAGGTTAATTATTAACTAAGTTAGTTAGTAGGTTAATTAGTAACTAATTTAGTTATGATCAATGTTTCTAAGTTAGTAATTAAGTTAATAAGTTTGTAACTAGGGACCATTCACATATTACGTGATACATTTAGGGGAGGGAGGGGGGTAAGCAAAGTATCACGCTTTAACAAATTTTCTATACTAAACTATAGAAAAAGTATCTAAAATGCCTAAAATATCTATCACGTAATATGTGAATGACCCCCTAAGTTAGTAGGTTAATTAGTAACTAACTTAGTTGGTCGGTTACTTAGTAACTAACTTACTTAGGTACCATGTTATTAAGTTAATTAGTAGGTTTGTAGTAACTAAGTTAGTTAGTAGGTTAATTAGTAACTAACTAAGTTAGTAATTATGTTACTAAGTTAGTAATTAAGTGAATAAATTTGTAACTAAGTTGGTTATTAAGTTAATTAGTAACTGAATTAGTTAGTAGGTTAGGGGCCATTCAAGTATTACGTAAGCATATTTTTGAGGTTTTTAGACCCCCTCTTCCCCCTCGTAAGATTTTTTATATGCATTAGCGCCATTTTTTCTAATGAAAGTAAGCAATAGCTAGACGCCCCCTCCCCCTTAAATGCTTACGTAATACTTGAATGGTCCCTTAATTAGTAAATAACTTAGTTATTAAGTTAGTAACTAAGTCAGTTAGGAAGTTAATTAGTAACTTAGGTAGTTATTAAGTTAATTAGTAACTAACTAAGTTAGTTAGTAGGTTAATTAGTATAACTAACTTTGTTAGTAGGTTAGTTAATTTGTGAGTTAGTAAGTTTGTAAGTTAGTTAGTAACTAACTTACTATTGTCCCTTGTGAGGCTAAATTCGTTGAATTTTTACAAAGCCTTGACTGTGGTGTTTGATTTGAAGTATAATTTTATTAATTGTATAAAATAACACAAAAATGGATTATTTTAATCCTTTCTGGTGTTAATTTAATCCTAGAGGGATTAAAGTGTTGCAGATTATTTTAATCCATTCTGGTCTTATTTTAACACCTCACGTTTTACTGTGAATCTATATTTTACTTTTAAATTATTGTTTTAAATATAATTATGTGGTGGAAAGAACTTTTTTAAATTTATAGTTAGTTTAAGGTAGAATGTAGAAAGAATTGTTACCGTAGCAGGAAAAGGAAGTGTTTTTGTGACCATTTCATATAAAACGACACCCATACTCCAAATATCGCATTTTAAATCATAAGCCTGGCCTTGTAACATTTCCGGTGCCATGTAAAAATATGTTCCCGCGTGACTCAAGATACTTCTAAAATTAAATATAATAACAAAAGTTTCTTTAAAAATTTAATTTTACATAAACATTTAAAATTAAAAGAAAAATTTGTTTCAATAACTTAAGTCCATCTCCAATTTTTCTTTAAATCACGAGTTTTAACATTGAAATGATTTTAATTGCAATCAACTGCAGTTTCCAAACATGATATTTATAATAAGAATGCAATAATAAATGTATTTTTTGACAAATAAGGAGAAATAAAAATAAGAAAATGTACTCTTGATTGTTTTTTGAAAGTCCAAAGTCAACAATTTTCACGACATCCGCATTTCGTCCAGTGAGCATAATATTTTCTGGTTTCAAGTCTCTGTGTAAAATATTTTTCGAATGAATATGGTTCACTCCTAAAACGACCTGAGTGAATAAATAAACAGCATCCTAAAATAAATCAGTAAATTGCAAAAATTTTTCATTTCTTTTAATATAAGATTTTGAGTATAACCAAAATGTATTTTAGTTTTCCATTATGCAGACTTCGCACTAAAGAAAAAAGTAGCTTCAAGACTAAAAGAAAGTATCGAGAAATTAAATTTTACAACTAAATGATTATATTTAAAAAGTTATTTTCAAAAATTAAAACATGAAATTTTTTAAAATATAAATTTTATTTCTATGAAATTTGACAAAATTTACAATTGTTTATCAATCTTTAAATAAATATTTTTGTAAATTAACTAATTCCAAAATTTTTCAAAAACTTAATTTCATTCCGAATTTAAAGATTAAGGGGACTTTCTGGTTTAGAATTGACAAAAAAGGAAGGTTTTAAAACTTTTATTGTAAGAACAGTATTAAAGAAATTGTAAAAACTATTTTTGGACATTGTAGCACATTGAGTAGAGAAAATTTAAAAAATATGTTTGAGTGTATTTAGTTCAATTTCATAGCTGTAGGTGGCGTCATCCAAAAGATACCTTTTTTTGGTACGTTAGATTCCGGGCAACCTGTAATACATAAATTCAAGTTCCAAACGGGAATCTCTTCATAAGGATTTATTCTTGTGCCTAAACCTCAAAAACGATTTTTTTTAAAGGTTTTTTTATTTTATATGTACATTTTTCTCAAAAACTCGCAAAAACGCCGTGTTTTTGGGTCAATTTACCTCCATATAAAAACACAGGCGGTAGAAATATGAGTTTTTAGAGGTTTAGGCACCAGTTTTTTAAATAAAGAATCGAAAAATTTTTGGGATTTCAAAATCGGTTCGGTAGATTTCGAGAAAAGCTCTGTACTAGTTTGAAAAATGAGTTTTCGAGAAAAACGCGTTTAAAGTTTTCATAACATAATTCATTGAGTCATGAATATCAAACAACTTTTTATTACAACAGAACTTCGTATCCCGCTGTTTTTGGGGTCGCTGATTACGAATTTGATGTCCGTTTTGGAAAATCCAAAATGGCGGATCCAATATGGCGGACGAAAAAATAAAAATTCAACCGGATTTGCTTAAAACTTGCTACTCGGGGGTTTTTGGGGTCGCTGATTACGAATTTGATGTTAGTTTTTGAAAATACAAAATGGCGGATCCAATATGGCGGACAGTATTACTTTCAAAATTGATAATGAAGTATTTGATTCAAACGCAATGCTTTAAGATTTTGAACATATGTTATTCATTCAACAATATCTGCTTTTGGCAGCCCGCAATAGCATATCTTTAGATTCTATAGCATTTTTTTTCAGTGTATATGTATTTAAAACGTTCCTAGAACGTTAATGTTTTGTGCCTATATTCATAACTAGCAATCTCAAAAGGCCACAAGTAACCATTTTCAACTAAATTTAATTAATTTCTTAATCTTTGTCCGCCATATTAGATCCGCCATTTTGTATTTTCAAAAACTGACATCAAATTCGTAATCAGCGACCCCAAAAACCTCCGAGTAACAAGTTTTAAGCAAATCCGGTTGAATTTTTATTTTTTCGTCCGCCATATTGGATCCGCCATTTTGTATTTTCAAAAACTGACATCAAATTCGTAATCAGCGACCCCAAAAACCCTCGAGTAACATGTTTCAAGCTAATATCAATAAAAGAGGAACACCAAATATGTAAATAAGATAACTGTAGATTGTTGTTGAAATACATACCGTCATAAATATTGTTATAACTTTTGTTTTTGTACATATTTTTTAAAAATCGTTTTGGGACAGTAATTCTATGATACTAAGGAACATTTTTAAGCAAAAAAAAAAATCGATTTTTTTGAAATTCTAAACCAGAAAGTCCTCTTAAACTAAAGTTTTAATAATTTTGTAAAATTAATATTTAAATACTTTTATTATTTATTCTTCAGCATGAATTAAAGTTTCAAATAACTTCAATGTATAAAACCTTTTGAAACTTAATTATTTCTATAAAAATTATGTACAACTGCTGTTCTTCCAAAATTAAATTATTTTTCTAATTTTTAAATAAAATTATTCAAAACCTTAAAAATTTTGTAGAAAAATAATCTATATTATATAAATAATTGTTGCATTCTGGATGTATTATGTTCGTAGTTTCAAATTAATTCCTTTTATTTGATTTTTCGTTTCCTAATTTTTTCATTAAATTTTCCATTTTAAATGTTTTACATTTAATTAAAAATTTCTAATTCTTTTCAATTCCTCACTTCTTACTGGGACACTACAACGCTAATCTTAGCAGAATCCCACTATGAGGTTTTCATAGTTTTGAAAATTTAAAGGAACAATGCAGAGAAACTTTTTATTTTAATTAATAAAATTTCTCTTATCAAATTTCCTCCAAGAGGTTAATAATTAGGTATTCATAAGTACCACACATTAAAGAAGAACTTTTATAGATTTTTTTGAGCAGTTTTTAATAAATATTAGTTTTAATAACCATGGTAACAATTTTATAAACATTTATCCTTTACTTTTCCAATTTTCTTCTATGATTATAAGTATTCATAAGTACCACACCAAATAAGAAAGTTTATAGAATTTTTGGAGTAGTTTTTCATAAATATTAGTTTTAATAACCATAGCGACAATTTCATAAACATTGCCAATCGTAAATAGTTTTTTAAGCTTTTTCACTTCAAATGGTTTATTGGAGTACTTATCAAGAACCCTTGTACGTTATAAACCTCCATCAAAAGAAGGAAATCATTTCAGTAGTAGGTCAAAGGCAAACTCTTTCCTTAAATAAATAAAAGAATTAATAATTTTAGTTTAATTTTTTTTCGTAATTGTCATTCGATTTCTATCGACTAAAAGTGGTGGTTGTGCATTGTACAACCATGAAATTTAAAGACATATTTTTTGTCAGCTTAATTTTATGGAAAGAAATTTTGGTAATGTCTTCTGCAAGTAATTACTATGACGGACTGATAAAGTATCTGAAAAACGACTCCAGATTGCGTCAGATAGTGTTCCTTCTTGACGATGAATTAGTCCATTCGGACCCATTGATGGATTCTCTCATGTCAGCAGTGAATTCGCATTTTCCATCGTTTACGGTCAAGTACAGTGATATAAATTCTAATCTTGCTAAACAACGTTTACAGACACTATTGCGACCTAAAATTACTGGACTATTCGTTTTGCAGTGGACAAAGAACACACCATTCGATAAATTTGAGGAATTTTTTACTGACCGAAATGATTTATTAAAGGGGCCAACACGACCAAAATGTTTAATAGTGCCGTCTTATCCTATATTTCATATAAATATCAGCGGAATTTTGTCATTTGTTAAAGATTACAATTTCATGGACTTTAGTGTTTTGATAAATATGAATGAACGGACTCTAAAAATTGAACAAAACCATAAAAAATTAATTCTTATTGTTGTAAAGGCTTTACGAAGCCCAAATAGGTACGAATATTTAGATTTCTATTTCCCAGAGTTTGATTCTGCAGAATTATCATCAAAAAGTCAGTGGTTTTCAAAGCATATTTTATCTACTAATAATTCATTTGTGTACGAATATTTTATGGCTATAAATTTTTTACGAATTTTTTCACGAGAAATTTATTTTGAACCGAAAACACTATCTTTTGTACTGCTAAATTCTCAAATGGTTTTTAGTGTATTTGATCACATATGGGCAAAAATGGAACATTTCCAAAAAGAAAAAGAATATATGTATCCTAATGAGAATATAAATTTTTATACATTTTCTCGGAGAGTGGATGTGGGTTTGATTAATATACTACTTCATACAATGCACCCTGTCAATGCTGTTATTCCACAAATGTCAAAACATTCAAAAGAAATTAGTGTCTCAACAGAATTTTGGTACATGATCATTGTAACAGTTTGTACAATTTCTATTATACGATTAGTAGCATTTTTGATAAAATTCAACAACAGTACATGGCAAACTTTAAACATCAGCCAAATTATAATGGGAATGTCTGCGAATCACGAACCTCGAAATTTAGCAGAAAGAACAGTTTTCGGATCATTGATTATTACATGCATTGTCTTTACTGGCTATTTTTACTCGATAATCCTCGACATCAGTTTTCGACCATCTCCTGAAATTTCGACTCTCACAGATCTTGTCAATTCGAATTTAACACCAGTTTTGTCTTTTGAAGTACGTTATAACTTAGCAACAACAGATGCAATCGCTAACAATGGAAAAATAGGAAGTATTGGTAGACAATTAGCAGAAAAAGGACTTACATTGGAAAGTATAAAAGAAGATAGGAGATTTGAAGAAGGTAAAATATTAGAAGGAGATTGTTTGCTAAAGTATATTGATCACCGGAACATTTCCTGTGTTATAAAAAATGCTCCACATCATGTTAAAAATTACATGGCTAAAAACGGAAGAACAAATGTTAAAATATTGGAAGAAACTGTTTTGTATTATTACTATCCATTTGCCACAGAGTCTTTTACACCATATCTTGATGATTTTATCAAAAGAATCTTAAATGTTTTGGAATTTGGATTATCGAGAGAGATTTACAGAAGCAATGTCAATTTACGGCAAACAAATAATTCGGAATTACAAATGATTTCGAAGGAGCAAATATTTATTGCCTTGTTTTATGTAGGAACAATTGGATATTCGCTGGCTATCATGGCTTTTATACTTGAAGTAATTACAGCAAAGATAAGAAGCAAATTTTTGCACAAACCAAAATTTCGATTTGTAATTTAACCCGATGTACTGGTGTTGAATGAAGTTAAATACAGTATGACTTCGCCTTGTATTGATAAATTGGCTTAGGAAGATTTTATAAAAGAGAGAAAAACTATTCTAGTCACTTCTACTTATAAGGCAGTGTAAGCGTTTGATTTTCTTTACTTCAAATCATATTATAGATTCGAATAGTAAATATTAGATAATTTATGTACACCGTACTTTTCCGTATATGTCACGTGGAGGAGATATTGTAATCATTACATCTCAATAAATTTTAGTAACAAATAAGATATAATTTATTTTAACCCATTAATGCCCATGGGCACAGAAACGCAGGTATAAAAAAGTAACTATTTGGATCCTGGCATGGGGTATAAAAATAATTTTTGACATTAAAAATTTTGTTTAAAAAATTTTTTTTTGTTATGAACAAATTAAAAAAATTTTAATTTTTATAACAATAGATCTTTTTTAAAAAATTATGTAACATATGTTCTCGTAGTAGTTTTTCGCGTAGAATCGAATGGCGCTATCAGTTTTTTATGAAAATCAATTTTTCTTAATTTGTTTATAACAAATTGTTTAAACAAATTTTTTTAAACAAAATTTTTAACGTCAAAAATTATTATTATACCCCATGCCAGGATCCCAATTGTTATTTTTTTGATATCTGCGTTCCTGTGCCCATGGGCATTAATGGGTTAATATTGATTTCGAGTTGGGATTTAAAGTCAGTCCGATATTACTGTTTTCAATTCTTAATAATCTTTTAATACTTCTATAATTGTGTACAAATTCTGTTTTGTTCTCAACAAAATGGAGAACAACAAGACAAAGACACTCTTATGTTATGTTCCTTGGATAGAGAAATTATGAAAAGTACCAGATTGAAGAAAGATACAATTATAGTAATGTTCCTTGAGTTTTTCTAAAGTTTTAGATTTAACAAAGATATATGATTGTAGTACCTAATGTTCTTTGATTAAAGAATTTGAAGAGTGTTAAATTTTTCTTTATATGCTTGTAAAGGACTATATGCTATTTTTTGATAACAGAAAGACAATTGTACTATCAAACGAAAAGCGGGAATAAAGAGAAAGATTAAATGGATATTGGTCCTTGCTTATATTATAAAAAAGAATCTCAATGTTAAAGAGTTGTGAAATTTGAGTGTTTTAAATAAATATTGAACATGGAATAAATTAATAAGTTTTGAATCATTTTTAACCCTGTCTTGTTTAAGCCAAACAATAATTTGTTGAAAAATAATGAAAATGTAAATGTAATACTTTTTCATTTGTTTTGCATGGGTCTAAAATAATTTGAGAAATTCATACTTCTTATTGTTATATTCTTATATTTTTTAACATAATTATTAATTTCATATTTTATTGAGTAGTGCATAACCCACGCTTCGATATAAACAAAAAATGAAAGGAAAAATTATTTTATTTATTTAACATTTTGATGTTTACTTTTGTTATGTTTATTATTGAGTGAGATAGACAGTAATGACTTTTATTTTTATTTATGTCAAAATGCGACCAGAAAAGAGAAAAGTAATGTGAATGATTAAAAATTAAATAAATTGAATACCGTGTTTTGCGTGTAAAATTTTCTAGTAAATTAATAATTTTTAAAAATAAATACTTGAATATTATTATAATTTTAACAGGAATTAAAATTTTCAAAGATTTCAATTTAACAACATTGAAATTTAATTATTTCAAATAATTCTACTATAACGGTTCTCATAGTCAAAATTATTTTCTAAAATTGTAATTTTTTAATTCAAAAATAAATAGTTTACTACTTTTATAGTAAAAACATTTCTGGTAACTTTTGCTACTTTCGGAGCAAATTCTGTTACGTTTGAAGTAAATTTTACTACGTTCAAAAAACATATTTGTAAAAATTAGTAAAATTTACTTCGAAAGTAGCAGAAGTGACCAGAAATGTTTTACTATAAAAGTAGTAAAAGTTATTTTATATTTTTCTCCGTGAAATATTAGTGGGTTTAAAATAGTGTCAAAAAAAGAAAAAGGTAGCTTTTTTGTGTTACAAATCTAAAAAAGTATCAAAATATACCAAATAGTAAAAAAGTAGTAAATTCATAATAGATTATTGTAATATAGCAGTGCGAAGTCTGTTTGATTTGTTAAAAAAGTGAAATTATTTCCTATTTGTAAAAATGAAGTAGGTATCAAAAAATATAATTATATATATTTTTTTGAAACTAAGTTAAAAATAATTTTAATTAATTTACCTCTTCTTTTAAAGGCCTTTGTCGTTTCTCGAGCAAATCCTTTAAAGTCCCATGTCTTGCAAATTCCATTAAAATAAAACTTCGTTTACCCTCTAACCAAGCTCCACGATAGGAAACAATATTCGGATGTCTCAATTTCCGAATGGAATCAACTTCAATCAAAGCCATCTTGTTGAAAAAAATTTCTAATTATTAAAACAAAAAGAAAAAAATACTTTCTTCACAAAAATGAACCAATAAAAAAATATACCTTAAAACTCAAAAAGTTTGTTGCACTTAATTTTTGCTCTTTAATAACAAAAGGCTTCCAATCACTTTTCCTCCGTACCAAGTGCACCATTCTGCGAAGAAAATAAACTTAAAATTTCTCTTTCGTAAAAATATTTTTCTTAACTGTAATTTCCAACTCACCCAAATGTTCCGTTCCCTAATACAGTTTCAAAATTATAATCGTCTGAATTCATTTTTTAAAAATTTGCTATCTCTGATAGTTGTCATAAAATTAAAAATTAAAATCAAACAGGGAACAAAACAACGAACGGAAAGACTCATTTCTGGTAACAATTGTTTACTTTTTCTAGGTCAGCCATTAATGTTTATTGTCCTTCGGATTGAAACACCAATAAACTAAATTCCCTGAAATCATAGTTCTAAGCGAAAAATAAATAATTTTCCAAATGTAAACCAAAACCTTTAACTTTTCCAAAATAAAAAAAAAAAATTTTTTAAGCACATTATTGAAACTCTGTCTAAATAAACCAAGGTTTTAAATTCTGCATTACATTAAATCTACTAATAGTTGAAATAAAAGAAATATTCTTAAAAATTTTAATAAAATTTTTCATAGAAATATAATTCAAAACAATTTTTATAAAATTCTTTGAAACAATTAAATTATTTTAAAAAAATTAAGGAAAATCTTTCGCAATAATTGAATTATTTTCAACAATAATTAAATTCTTCGCTGAAATTCAAATGTTTTCAATGTCAACTATATTAATCAAATTTCACAAAAGAATTCAATATTATTGTGAGAAAAAAATTAATAAAATTCAAATTAAAAATTTAACTAATATTATAAATAAAAAAATTTCCACAGGATTTGAATTTTTTAAGTCCAATTTGAAAAAATATTTTTTAAAAAAATCAATTATTTAAAATAATTTATTAAAATTCTTTAAAAAAAATAATTTTCTAAAATTTTGATAACATTTGTTTATAAGAATTAAATTATTTTCATAAATAACAAAATTCATGGCAAGAATTAAATTATTTTTAATACAATTTTACTTGAATTATTCTTTTACATTTCTATAAAATAATACAAAAAATTCAATTATTTACAATAATAAAATAAAATTTGATGCAAGGATTCAATTATTTTTAAAAATAATAAAATTCATCGCAAGAATTAAATTATTTTTAATGTAATTTAATTAAATTATTCAAAATAATTGAATAATTCTTTTTAATATTTATAAAATGCTTCAAAACAATTCAATTATTTAAAAAAAATTTAATAAAATTTGATGCAAGAATTAAATTATTTTTATAAATAATAAAATTCATGGCAAGAATTTAATTATTTTTAATACCTACAATTTCATTAAATTCCTCGAAATAATTGAATTATTCTTTTAAATTTTTATAAAATGATTCCAAAAATTAAATTATTTACGATAATTTAATAAAATTAGATGCAAGGATTGAATTACTTTCATAAATAATAAATAATTCTTTACAGGGATTCAATTACTTTTAAAACCAATTTTCAAGATTATTTTTCTAAAAAAAATCAATTATTTACAATATTGTAATAAAATTCTTTGAAAAAAATTCATTATTTTTTAAAATTTTTATAAAATTTGTTTTTAAGATATAAATTACTTGCATAGATAATAAAATTCATTGCAAGAATTCAATTATTTTCAATTTAATTTTAATTAAATTATTCGAAATAATTGAATTATTTTTAATACAATTTTAATTTAATTATTCGAAATGATTAAATTATTTTTTAAAATGTTTATAAAATGATCCAAAAAATTAAATTATTTTTAATTATTTAGTAAATTTAGATGCAAGGAATCAATTATTTTCATAAATAATAAAATTTATGGCAAGGATTCAATTACTTTAAATAATTTAATTTAATTTTTATTTTCAATTTTAATTGAATTATTCGAAATAATTCAATTATTCTTTTAAATTTTTATGAAATGATTCAATAAATTAAATTATTAACAATAATTTAATAAAATTCGTTGCAACTATTCATTTTTTTCCATAAATAATAAAATTCATCACAAAAATTCAATTATTTTTAATAAAATTTAAAATGAATTCTTTGAAATAATTGAATTATTCTTTAAAATTTTCATAAAATGATACAAAAAATTAAATTATTTACAATAATTTAATAAAATTTGATGCAAGGAATCAATTATTTTCATAAATAATAAAATTCACCACAAAGAATTCAATTATTTTTAATCTAATTTTATTAAATTTTTTTTAAATAATTGAATTATTCTGTTGTATAATCATAAAATGCTTCAAAACAATTCAATTATTTAAAAAAAAAAATTAATAAAATTAGATGCAAGGATGCAATTATTTTCAAAAGTTTGAATTAAATTTTTTATGAGTATTCAATTTTAAGATATAATCAATTATTTATTTTCGTATTTAAATAATTAAATTCTTATAGAACTTTCCAATAAAAATTGGTTAAAAAATTAATTTCTCTAAAAATTTTATATTATAATTGAATATTAAATGCGTTATAGTATAAATTTTTAGAAATAGTTAAATTTCAAAACGCTTTTACATTACATTTAAAATAATTTATATCCTTCCGTGTATTGTTAATAAATAATGTATATTCGATTCAAGAAAGAAAGAATTAAAAATTAAAACATTAAAATTATTGATATAAAATAGTTCGAAATGAAAAAAAAACCTGAGACTTTAATTAACATTTTCAGAAGGAAAACTTATTCATTTAACAGGAAAAATGAATATTTTTGATTTCTTTTATTAATGTTTATTATGTTGAAGTGTAGAAAATTATAACTTACTCTTAATCATAAAAAATTGAGATATCCGGAATTCTTATTATTTTAAAAGGCATCCAACATTTCTTTCGATCTTATTCACTATCGAAAATTATAAATACATACTGTAATACCTAATGTTTTTTGAAATTAGAAAATTGTACAGTAAAAATTCTGATATTTTCAGTAGAGATGGAAAATTAGCAATTCTGGTATTTTATATTCTCGTAAAAAAATACACAAAAGTGTACGATTTTTTAAAAAAATGTATAATTTTTTAACGCATTAATAATAAATATTAATATTAATTAATTATAAATTCATATTAATAATTAATTATTAATATAAGTATTTTATAATAATTGCAATAAATTTCCATTTCAAATAAAATTTTAGTATAATACCAGAATCAAAAATTTGATTTTCAGTATATACATAATAATTGACTTAATTAAAGAAATTTTTGTTTTGAGACAAGAAAAGAGTGAAAATCAAGAAGAGGTAATCTTTTTAACATGGGAACTTGTGAAATTTATTTTTTGGCAAAGGAAATCTTCATTGCGTGGGAAGGTGTAATTTTGAAACCTTGAAGCGCATCTTTCGCGGCTCCGGATTGTACTTCATTTTCGAATTCAACGAAGGCGATGTCGTGTCGATTGGGAACCAATCGCACTTCTTTGAAGCCAGGAAATTGGTTGAACAACATGGACAACATCATTTCGCTTGTCTCGTCCGGTAAGTTCGTAAGGAAGAGAATTTGATTTGGTGGTTGCTCGGGAACTGCAGCGTTTGACAAGCCAATATGTTGAGGAACGCCACCAGCGTTGAAACCAACTTGATGTGATTGCTTCGCTTGATCCTTGGCGCGTTTCTTCGCTCGTTTCGCCTCTTCTTCCGCCGCTGGCAAAATACGTTTCGGTTTTTTTGGTCTTTCAGCAAATGTGCCCTTCATTTTTGCAATCATGTCACTATCTTGCTTTGCATATTGTATCCTCTGCAAAATTAATTATCAATTCATTAATAATAATAAATAACAATGTATTAATTGCCAACAGATTATTTGTTAAGAATTCTTTTATTTTTCACCAGAGGAAACGAAACTAAATTTAAAAGAAGCGTCAACAAGAATTTTCAAAAATTGTAAAAAAATTAACATCAGAATAGGAGAATTTACATTTGTGACTTGCTGAAGCGGAACGGCCTCGGGACTTGACCTCTTTTTCCAATAATTCCAATTACTGTTAACTCTGTTCTTTCTATATTTTGGTGGATTAGAAGCTTATTGGTAAAAAGTACCAGTTTGTAAAAGTTAATAATTAAAAAAATAATCAAACTAAACCGTAAACTTTTGCCCAATTCGGAAAAATTCCTTCGTTCACAAATAATGTCACGCAATTTTTTGAAATTTTCACCCCCCCCCCCTTGTTACGCAATTAAATGCAATTTCACATGTAAAAAATACATTGTGTCACGTTTAGTAAAGACCGTCCCCCTTCCCCAAAAAACGTGACATCATTTGTGAACGCTCCCTTTTGAACCTTGTAACATATTACAAGAAGAGTATTAAAAAATTTTACTAAATAAAAATAAAATACAAATTTTTCTAAAATTTTGCAAAAAGTAGAAACTTTTTTCTTTAACATAACGAAAAATTCTTCTAACTTATCAAATTTAAATTTAGACAATTTTTGTAAATTTTTCTTTAAAACAAGGGAAAAGAGAGGAATATGCATAACTTTAAATGTTTTGGGAGATTTTATAAATATACGGGGATAAAAAGAAGAAGGAAAAAAAAGGGTACAATGATACCGTACCAATGAATTTTTTTTAAATATAGAAATTAACACAATTTGAAAAATTAATATTGTGACGTAAAAAATTATTAGACTTCACACTCAATAATTCATTTTAAAAAAGTAGCAAAAAGTAGTTTTATTATCCTGACTTTTTCCTAACTTTCATCACAAATATTTACTTCCTTCTTATCCTGCTAATAAATTGAATTCCTGCAACGAATTTTATTATTCATCAAAGAATTTAAATAGAAGCTGTTATAAAAATAATTTAATTCTTGCCAAGAATTTTCTTTAAATAATTAATTTCTTTCGACTAATTTTATGCAAATTCTAAATTAAATAATTGAATTCCTGAGAAATTTTTATTATTCACGTAAAAAGAATTGAATTTTTTTGAAGATTTTTTACAAAAATTGTTTTAAAGAATTAAATTCAGTTTGGAAATTTTATGAAAATAGTATAGATGTTGAAAGACATTAAATTGCGAAAAGTTTTTTAAAATAATTAAATTTTACAAAGAATTCTATTAAAATTTTTGCCAATAATTGAATGTCGCCTGTGAGGTATTTTATTAAATTTTTTTGAAAATAATTGACTTCCTAAAAAGCATTTTATTATTTATGAAAATAATTGAATTCTTGAGAACAATTTTAAAATAATTGAATTTCCGAGAAGAAATTTATTACTTTTAAAAATAATTGAATTCTTGTTATGAATATAATTTATGAAAATAATTGAATCTTGCAAAGAATTTTATGAAAATACCTCAAAATAATTGAATTTTTGGAAATAATTTTATTATTTATCTTTAATAATTGAATTCTTTCGAAAATTATTTATGTAAATAATTGAATTCTTGAAAAGAATTTTATTAAAATCTAAAAGAATAATTAAATTATTTCAAAAAAATTGAATTAAAATTATATTTAAAAGAATTGAATTCTTGGGGAGAATTTTATTAAAATATTTGAAAATAATTGAATTCCTGTGAGAAATTTTAATATTTTTGTAAATAATTGCTTTTTTCGAGGAATTGAAATCAAATTTTTAAGAATAATTATATTTTTTTTTAGCAATTCCTGTAAAATTGTATTAAAAGTAATTGAAATATTACGATGAATTTTATTAAAATTTAACAAAAATAATTGAATTCCTGAGAAGAATATTTTATTATTCATGAATAGAATTGAATTCTTACAAAAGTTTTTACACCAAATTTTTTAAATAATTGAATTCAGTTTGGAAATTTTATAAAAATATTAAATATTAAAAATCATTAAATTGCGAACAGTTTTTAAAAATACATAATTAAATTTTATTAAAATTTTTGACCATAATTGAATGTCTGTGTGGTATTTTATTAAATTTGAAAAAAATTGAATTTTGCAAAGAATTTTATTAAATGCCTCAAAATAATTGAATTTTCGAGAATAATTTTCTTATTTATCGACATAATTGAATTGTTTCGAAGAATTATTTATGTAAATAATTGAATTCTTCCGACGATTTAAAAAAACATTTTTTTAAATAATTGATTTTTTTGAGGAATTGAAATTAAATTTTTAAGAATAATTACATTTTTTGAGCAATTCCTGTAAAATTGTAGTAAAAATAATTGAAATCCTGCAATGAATTTTATTATTTATGAAAATAATTGAATAGTTGCTAAGAATTTTATTAAAATTTCAAAAAAGAACTGAATTCATTAGAAGAATTTTAGTATTTATAAAAGTAATTGAATTATTGCAAAAAATGTTATTAAAATGTTTAAAAAGAGTTGAATTTCTGTAAAATATGTTAATATTTTTGAAAATAATTGAATTCTCAAATTCTTCATAAGAATTTTATAAACATTGTTTTAAATAATTAATTTTTTCCATGAGTTTTATTATTTATGAAAATAATTGAATTCTTGCGAACGATTTTATTAGAATTTTTTTAAATAATTGAATTTCCATAAAGAAATTTATTGTTTTTAAAAATAATTGATAAAATAAATAATAAATAATTTATTTAAATAATTAAATAAATAATTATAAATAAATTATAAATAATATAATATTAATTATTTTTTATAAATAATTATAAAAAGAAAAATAATTTTCAATCTTGTGATGAATATTGTTATTTATGAATACAATTTAATTTTGCAAAAAATTTTATTAAAATGCCTTAAAATTATTGAATTTTTAAGAATAACTTTGTTATTTATCGACACAATTGAATTCTGTCGAACAATTATTCATGTAAATAACTGAATTCTTGGGAAAAATTTTATTGAAATCATAAAGAATAATTGAATTATTTGAAAAAAATTTAATTAAAATTGTATTTAAAATAATTTCTTTCGAACAATTTTATTCAAATATTTTAAAATATAATTGAATTCCTGTGAAAAATTTTATATTTTTTATAAATAATTGAATTCTTTCAAGAATTTAAAAAAAACTTTTTTTAAATAATTGATTTTTTTGAGAAATTGAAATCAATTTGAGCAATTCCTGTTAAATTGTATTAAAAATAGTTGAAATCCTGCGATGGATTTTATTATTTACGAAAATAATTGAATTGTTGCTAAGAATTTTATTAAAATTTTTAAAAATAATTATTCTGAGAATAATTTTATTATTTATGAAAATAACTGAATTGTTGCGAAAAATTTTACCTATTCTACATAATTAATTTTTTCGAAATGTAATAAATATGAAAATTTTATTAATTAAATAATTGTATTCTTGTAGAAAACTTTATTTGTGAAAATAATTGAATGTTTTAATTAATTAATTTAAAATAGTATTAAAAATAATTGAAATTCTTCGATGAGTTTTATTATTTATGAGAATTATTGAATCGTTTTAAAGAATTTGATTATAATTTTTGAGAATAGTTTTTTGATTTCTAGTATTAGCGAATTTAAAGTAGTGGACATTCTCAAAAGAAAACAGAAATAGTAGCTTTTATTGCTTGAAATCTAAAAAAAAGTATTCAAATAGTAGTAAATAGTAAAAAAAAAAAGAAGTAAACAGTAGGTTTTATTAGATGAGTGCGAAGCCTGTTATTAAAATCGATAACAAAAATAGTTTATTTAAATCTAAAATTTCAAAAATGTTCAATTTCAAAAATTATGTATTGAACAGCTTAATTTTGAGAAAGTAAAATGAAATAATAGTGTTTTCTTACCATTGGTTTGTCATAAAACGGAAAACCTTGCATAGATCTTAAAGCATTTGTTGAACTAGCAATTTCCTTGAATATAACAAAAGCCTGACCTCGCATTTTTAAAGTTTTAAGTGCTACAATATCCAAAATTTGTCCAAATTGACTAAATATTGCATATAAAGACTTTTTTAATTCCTCCTTCTTAATCTTCTCATTTAGATTATTGATATAAATTGTGTTATTCGGCCTAATATCCATTGTGATCTTCTGTAATCAAATACATAACCTCTATTTAGTTAAAGAAATCAGTATTTATTCATTACTTTTACATGGACTAAAATAAAAACATAATAATTATTCGTCAATTATTTCCCTTAAATTTAAATATGTATGTTTCAAATATAGTTTGTCTTAACTATAAATAAACAAACAAAACAATTTGATTAATAAACATTCTATTTCGTTTCCAATAAAGAAAAAGGAAGAAATAGACAAATTAAAAATGAGAAAAATCTTAATTTTTTATTAATTTATCCGATTTGTATGTAAAAAGTGTAAACAAAATCATTTTTACAGTATAATAAACAAATAAAATCAGGTGCGTAAGCAAATAGTAATTTTAAATTGAGGCAATTATGAAATAAAATTATCCGTTACCTTTGTTAAGAAGTTCTTATAATTTCCTCGATATTATTAAATTTCTTTAATTAGTGTTTTAATAACATTAAAAATTATACCATAAACAGAATAAACTTATTATAAAATTCAAGTCGGCGTTATTTTTTAGGTTAGAATCAACGATGCATCCACGATTGCCGACAAGCAGGTCTACCAACAGGTTTACCAATAGTTGCAAAATACAGTGACGTCGAATCGCAGTTCTCCTGGATGGAAAACGTTAAATTCCTGATTATTTTCTAATATTATTGAAAAATAAAATATTGTCTATTAAATATTAATTTTTAAGAGGCAGAATCAATATTTTTTATTGATATATTTCTACAGGGTTGCGTTGCGAAGTTACGAATAGAAAATATTGTCTACTTAGGGATATTTTTATTCTATAACACTAGAAAAATACTCTTTTCTGATTGGTGGAGATCGTAATTATTTGTCCATGAAACAACTTTTCATTTTTCTTCTTTATCTTCTATAATTTTATAAACAAAAGTGAAATTATTTTTGAATATTTTGAAGAGAAACACGATTATTTTTAAAAAAGTAAATAAACTTAGAATGTGGAATTATTTTCAAAAGGAGAAAATTTGTATTTTTCAATTGAAACTTTCAAAAATCCCGCTGTACTCCAACCAATTAGAGTTGGTATTTACAATTTCCCCCGAGGAAATTTGGAAATGTTTGGGAAAATTCGCAATTTCTACGCCAATGGAGAAACTACAGAAAAGCTCTCTCTCACTCTCTACTCTTTCGTTTCATTATGGCACTGGCATTGTATCTTATTAGGGGAAAGGAATTGCATTACGGAAATTCGCTGATACGTTTTTTCTCAAGCTGCTCAGCCATGAAGGTAATTTTTGCTTTGCAATAATCATTCATCACTCTTTAACGTCATAAAATAATATCCTCGGGATATTTTTCTTTTATCATTTTTTGCGCGGTTCATTTGTAACAGCAGGCTAGTTTTCTAAAGATTAGGGTGCTCTTAAGTTTCAAACACATATAAATGTGTGTAACGTGTATGATATTGCCGCGATGATAAATAGTTTACACACAATAACAATATGCCGAGTAACATCTGGTCTCAATAGATTTTACAATATAATTAACCCTAGGTTGATGAAATGCTTTTTATACGTTTAATTTTCAAAATTTTACCCATTTTTCCCTTAATTTTTTTTATTAATATATTAGAAATTAAAATATAATTTTCAATATTTTTGATAAAAGACAAAAACAAAATAAAACTAAAACCGTTTCGAAGATAGAAAACAACTAAATTTTCGAGTTTCGACGTTGAAATATTGAATATGTTGATATGCATATATGTGTAAATGTTCTGTTATCTTTGAAATACTGGGTCACTTTTAATAAAATCGTTAACTTGTTGAATTTTGCATTCTTGAAAATAGAGATTTGACTTTGCAGCGTTAGATAATCATTTGCGATAACTTTTAGTTAATAAAATATAAAGAAAAATTAAAATTATTTTTTATTTAAAAAAATCTAAAATTGTCTTGGTTTTTTTGAACAGAAAGGGTTAGTGCTCGGAGTTTATGAGACAGAAAAAAAAGAGGATGAGAAGATTAACCTGACACCTGCAGCAAGTAAATACAATGAAATTTGTGATGGAAAGCTACTCAAACAAATACAGTTGTAAGTCTTTCACTTTCTACTTAATACATTAGCCTTCAATTAAATATGTTGCTTGCTCAATTTTATATCTGCAAAAGTCTGTTTGTTTGTAAATATAATTAGATACCTTTGGAAACAATTGATTAGTATGTTATTAAAGTCATTACTTGTCAAATAATTTTAATACAAAATATTTTCTTTTATTTCTCATATTTATCTCATTCGCGGGTATTTACTTTGAGATTAAAAAACAAAACTGTTTCAGTAAATATACATTTTTACAAAGAATTTTTTTTTACATACAACAGTGTAATAAAAGTTCATAAATTAATTAATATTAATTTTTAAATTAATTAACTTATTTATTTTAATATACCTTTAAATAAAAATTTTTTGAAAAATTGAAATTTTATAAAATTTATTTGAAAATAAAAATTGATATTTTTCAAGTATTTTATTACAATTTTTGAAAATCAACTTTTGAAGAATTTTAATTGCAAAGTTTAAAAACAATTAAATTCTCAAAATTATACCTATAATTAACAAATTTTTTGGAGAATTGAAATTTTGTAAATTTTACCTGAAAATAATTGATTTTTCTCAAGTATTTTATAACAATTTTTAAAAATCAACTTTTGAAGAATTTTAATTGCAAAGTTTGAATAGAATTGAATTCACAAAAATATACCTTTAATTAAAAAATTGTTAAAGAATTGAAGTTTTGTACCATTTAATTGAAAATAATGGATTTATTTTCAAGTATTTTATTACAATTTTTGAAAATCAACTTTTGAAGAATTTTAATTACAGTTTGAAAATAATTGAATTCTCAAAAAAATTTAATGAAAAGTCTTCAAGTAAAAATTTAAAAATGAAAATTTTTTGAAAAATGTTAATTACAGTTTGAAAATAATTAAATTCTCAAAAAAATTTAACGAAAATGAAAATTTATGAAAAATTTTAATTGCAAAGTTTGTAAAGAATTAAATTCTCAAAAATATACCTAAAATAACAAAATTTTTGAAGAATTGAAATTTTGTAACATTTAATTGAAAATAATTGATAATTTCAAGTATTTTATTGTAATTTTTGAAAATCAACTTATGAATAATTTTAATTGCAAATTTTGAAAATAATTGAATTTTCAAAAATTTTAATGAAAAGTCTTCAAGTGGAAATTTAAAAATAAAGATTAATGAAAAGCTTCTAAAAATTAAATTAAAATAATTTTGAAAATTAATTAAATTGTATATAATTGAAAAACTATTATCTTTCAAAAATTATTTTAAAACATTTAAAAAAAATTAATTTTACGAATGTTTTTATTATAATCTTCTGAAAATTTTAACTTTAAAAAAAAGTACAGTTACAATTATTATAAAAAATTGAATTTTTGTATTGAAATAATCGAATTCTTGAAGAACTTTCGGAGAATTATGAAAAATGATTGATTTAGAAATGAAGTTTAGTTAAAAATTGTAAAAAATTATTGAACTTTTTTGCGCCTTAAATTCGATCCGAGGCCTGAAAATTTAATGATAAATTTTGTTATTAATTAGGCTACTAAATTTTGAGATTCAACAATAAATTAATTTAATTATTCGTCATCATGATGAAACAATCTTGCGAGCACCTTAATATCTGATGACTGACAATTTACAATTTTTTTTGTAAATTATTTGGTTATCTTGGTACTAAGATAAGATTCTAAACTTTGATCGAACAAAACGTTTAATGGTGAAAGAAAAATAAAATTTTATTTATAATCAAACTGTAATTTTCCACTTCATTCTTAAATTGATAATTGAAATGCTACAATTATTTTTCAGACAATGATTCTACAAATCTGTTTTTTGTCTGTTTTCTATCAACAATTTATTTTTCTCAATAAAAACATTCCTTAAATAGTTTGAGAAAGCACAACTTGGCAACACTCTGTAATTTATTTCCCACTTTAGCGCTCTGGAATGTAATTCCCATAATAATTATAATACTGTCCGACAAAAATGAATTTTTTTTCTGCCCCGTCAATAATTTTGATCACTTTCGATAGATTTTGTCACGCTGATTACGAATCTGCAAAGAAAATGCCCAAGCATGTCATATTTTTTGAGAAAATTAGTGTTAAAAAATGAAAATGGACAATAATATTTCCAGATTTCCTTCAGATAGAATTTGAATAAAATTTAAAAACTTTTTATTAAATTTCCAGGTTATACTTATTTATTTAAGGGGAGACTTCGACTACATTTTTAACTATATCAGGAAAATGATTTAAATCTTCAATAAAATTATTTTTATAGTAATTTTTAGAGAGGAAAGCAATGGTTAGAAAATATTCTGACTTTTCTTGAATTTTTATTTTTCTTAAAAATTAATAGATTTTAAAATCCATCCGTAATTTTGTAGAAAATATGTTTTTGTATTCACAAAAAAATTACCGAATGAAAAGAATGATTTTTATTATTTTTAAAGCATTTTTTTCCCTAAATATTGTTTTTAGGTTGAAAATGCTAAAAAAAGTACCATTGTTATTCAATTTTTTTATACTGAAATTTACTTGTTTATTTTTCTAAATAATTTCAAATCATAATTTTTTAAAATAAAAAGTAAAAAGAGCAGAATAATTATATGATAAAATTATAATTTAAAATTAGTTTGAAAAATAAACAAGTGAATTTTCATATAAAAATATTTAATAACAAGGTTTTTAGTATTTTCAACCTAAAAACAATGTTTTTTTCAAAAAAAATAAAAATCATTTTTTTATAACATTTTATAGATCATTTTTTTTAACCGAACATTAATCGACTCGACAAAAAAAATTCGAATCGGCCAAATCGAAGTTTCGAATTGCAAATTGCACAACATATTGCATACACAACATAGCACAAGACTTAAAATTTTTTTATAAAATTGAATTTTCGCAAAGTTTTTATTTTGAAAATTCTGAAAAATAAAATTTTTGAAATTTTTCAATTCTATTGTTTTTAAGATAATTGAATTTTTATAAACAAATAATTGAAATTTCTTTACATTCAATTAAAGATAATTGAATTCCTATAAAGAATTTTATTTAAATTTTTCGAAAATAATCAATGGAAGTTATAGTGACCGTATAATTATAAATTTATTTTAAAAATATAAAGTCCCTCTTAACAGGGTGTCTAACGGACAGGGAAGTCAGCAAAAGGCAGGGAATTTTTTTGGTCAGGGAAAAGTCAGGGAATGGCAGAAAATTTCATTGAAAGTCAGGGAAATTTCTAAAAATTTTTAATTTAACAAAACTTAGAAGATTTTTATTATCGTTTCTTTCTAACATTAGATATTAATTTATTGTTAAATATGTCAGTTACCATATTTTTGTCCCAAGAAAGAAAAAATAGAATTAGTAAAATGTCAGGGAAAAAGTCATGGAATAGTCAGAGAATTTTTTTCTTAATCCTTGTTAGACACCCTGTCTTAAAGTTTTAAATGGGACGCATGATTATTCCCCAAATGTCATTTTTCCGAAATGTCATTTTACCGAACTGCACTTTTGCGAATACTCATTTTTGCGAAAAGCCAATTTTGCGAAATGACACTTTTGCGAATTGTCATTTTTTCGAAAAGCTATTTTTGCGAATTGTCATTTTTGGGCATGGACATTTTTACGAATTGTCAATTTTCTGAAAAGTCATTTTTGCGTATCGTCATTTTTACGATTTGTCAATTTTTCGAAAACTCATTTTTGCGAATTGTCATTTTTACGAAAAGACATTTTTGTGAAATGTCATTTTTGCGAATTGTCACTTTTGCGAATCGCCATTTTTACGAATAGCCATTTTTACGAATTGTCATTTTAAAGAATTGACATTTTTGTGAATTGTCACTTTTGTGAATTGTCATTTTTGCGAAAAATACAACAGTGAATTTATAGACCTACAAGTTTTCTATTGTATTTTTCGCAAAAATGACAATTCGCAAAAATGACTTTTCGGAAATTTGACAATTCGTAAAAATGTCGATTCGCAAAAATGACTTTTCGGAAAATTGACAATTCGTAAAAATGGCGATTTGCAAAAATGACAATTCGCAAAAATAACAATTCGTAAAAATAACTTTTCGCAAAAATGACTATTCGCAAAAATGACAATTTGTAAAAATGGCGATTCGCAAAAGTGACAATTCGCAAAAATGACATTTCTCAAAAATGACAATTCGCAAAAATGATTTTTCGCAAAAATGGCAATTCGTAAAAATGGTGATTCGCAAAAATGACATTTCTCAAAAATGACAATTCGCAAAAATGACTTTTCGAAAAAATTACAATTCGTAAAAGTGGCGATTCGTAAAAATAACTTTTCGGAAAATTGACAATTCGTAAAAATGGCGATTCGCAAAAATGACAATTCGCAAAAATAGCTTTTCGAAAAAATGACAATTCGCAAAAGTGTCATTTCGCAAAATTGGCTTTTCGCAAAAATGAGTATTCGCAAAAGTGCAGTTCGGTAAAATGACATTTCGGAAAAATGACATTTGGGGAATAATCATGCGCCCCGTTTTAAATCAATTTTTGGCTTCTTAAAATTATATTACTATTCAATAATTATAATTATTGAACTACTCTTCAATTTTTATAATTATAACATTCCTAGGAAGGTTTCATTTACTTTTACGAATTGTAAAATTCTTTGCAGAAATTCAATTATTTTTAATATAATTGAATAATCAAAGTCTCAATTATAACTATAAACAGACAAAATTATTTTTAAAAATTGGAAAAATTCTTTGTTTAATTCAATTTTTTCTCAATTTTCAATTAAAATTATTTTAAAAAACGATTATTAAATTCTAACGTTATTAAAAAAAACATTTTCAAAAAATTGAAAGAAGCTTGTCAAAACAATTTAATTATTCATAAAAACTCTAATAAAAATTTTTGAAGCCATTTGTAGATTTATTTTTGTTCGAAATCAAATAAATTTAAATTTGATGTGAAAAAAACATTTCATATTAATTTATTGAAGTTAAATATGTTAGTAACCACATTTTTGTCCCAAAAAGCAGAAATAAAGTTAGTAATAACCCAGCGAATTTTTTTCTTAATCCTTGCTGGATATGCACGATGCTAAACATTAGAAAAATGACAAAATAGAATGCAAATGAAGAGCTAATTTTTAATTATCTTATTGTAGTGTTTTCTAATTCTAATTCTTAATTTCCAATAATTCATAATGAAAGATGGTCAAAAACATATTTTTTTCAACATTAATTTTCTCAAGAACTTGACATGCTGAAAATTCTTTATTGCAAATTCGTGAAAAAATCTATCGAAAATGACTAGAATTATTATTTAAAGGTCAAATACAGCATCGAACAATGTAATCATCCGACTTGACGCTTTTTTAGCACCGGCAAAACTTATCCCCTCACACATTTATATTTTCTTTTTTTCGAATTAAATCCGATCACATTTTCAGCCTGAAACAATTGTCATAATGCTGCCTGAGCTTTTTCTTAAATCTTATCGTTCCATAAGTTTTTCTACATCATCTTTTTAATTTTTCTCTCAATAATATTCTCTATTATTTTTTTTTTACAAAAATTTTCTTTTCATAGTGAAAAGATGTTAAAAACTTTTTTAATTTTTAACATTTTTTATTTCTTTTCATATTTGAATATTGATAATAATAATAATAATAATAAACATTTCCGAGAGTCTTGAAGCTCACTTGGCATTATTTTGATTGTTTCAGGAGGGACTAAAAGACATGCTTAAGCGGAGAAAATATTGAAAAAGAAAATTCTATTTGCTGGCAAATGAACGACGAATATATTTTCGAAAATCGAACCCTTGTCGAAAATCGTGAAACATTGTGAAACATTGTGAAACATTGTGAAACTAAGACAGGAAAATAGAAAATATTCGAAAAATGGCAACTGGAGAGGCTGGAAGTAGTGGAGGAAGCGTTCTCCATGGAATTGGCGGTACAATTGAGGACAAGAACAACGATTTCCTGTGTCCTATTTGTTTTGAGTTGATAGACGAGGCGCATATTACGCGCTGCGGACATACTTTTTGCTATAGGTGTATTACCAAGTCGCTTGAGGTTAACGGCAGGTGTCCGAAGTGCAGTGATATTCTAGGTCAGCAGGACATATTCCCGAATTTTCTTCTCAATGAATTGGTCTCCAAATACAAGACTCGTATCAAGGGAGTCGCGGAACTGAATTTCTCGGAAGGAAAGAAAGGTATTGAGATCGCCCCTCCGAATGATGGTCTTCGGGACTTTGTCGCCACGGAGAGTGCGAATCTAACCCTTCCGGATGTGAACGTAATGCTCGAGGTGCTTATACAAAGGAAGCAGTTGCTAGAGGCGGAGTCGTGCGCCGCGCAGAATAAGCTTCTGCACGAGTTCCTGCAGAATGTTCTTCAGCAGAAGGAGGAGCGGGATCGACAGTTGCACAACGAGATTACGCTCATCAAAAAGGACATGGAAATTGTCGAGAGTATTCTCAGAGACGTGCAGATGAACTGTCCGCGGGTGGAGAGTTTGAAGGCTTCTGGTGCGAATGACTCGGAGCAAATATCCGATATCAGGAAGGAGATGATTAATATGATAAATAATATTGATTCGAATATGGTGAAGAGCGATGGCGAGACGCTTAGTTCGTCCCTAGCGATCCGGAGGAAGAGGATGCATGCGCATTTTGACGACTTTGTGCAATGCTACTTTGACACTAGGGCCAAGGAGCATTTGTTCAACCCAAGGACTCAGAGTCAAGATCCTCTGTCGCAGACGAGTTCTGGACTCGACATATTTAGGGAGAATTTGGTAAAGTTCTCGAGGTACAATTCCCTAAGACCTTTGGCGACTCTGAATTACTCCTGGGAGATCTTTAACAATCCGACCATTGTCTCGAGTATCGAGTTCGATAAGGACAACGAATTCTTCGCGATTGCGGGCGTGACGAAACGGATAAAGATCTTCGACTATGGGGCCGTGATCCGCGACACTGTCGACATCCACTACCCCTGTGTTCAGATGGTCTCGGACTCGAAGATTTCGTGCATCTCCTGGAACTCGTACCACAAGAACAAATTAGTCTCGTCCGACTACGAGGGGATCGTGGCCGTTTGGGACACGGAGGCGGGACAGAAGACGAAGGTCTTCCACGAGCACGAGAAGCGCTGCTGGTCCGTGGACTTCAACAACATGGACAGTCGGCTGATCGCCTCTGGCTCGGACGACGCGCGGGTCAAGCTCTGGTCCCTGAACATGGACTACTCGTTCGCCTCCCTGGACGCTAAGGCCAACGTCTGTTGCGTCAAGTTCAACCCACAGAGTTCGCACCATTTGGCGTTCGGCTCCGCGGATCATTGTGTGCACTACTACGACTTGAGGAACATGAAGGAGGCGCTCTGCGTTTTCAAGGGACATCGAAAGGCTGTTTCCTACGTCAAGTTCCTGAACAAGGAGGAAATCGTGTCGGCGAGCACCGACTCCCAGCTAAAGATGTGGAACATCAACAATCCCCATTATCTGCGATCGTTCGTCGGACACGTGAACGAGAAGAACTTTGTCGGCCTCGCGACCGATGGGGACTACATTGTCAGCGGTTCGGAGAACAATGCCGTCTACGTCTACTACAAAAGACTGTCCAAGCAGCTTTTGTCCTACAAATTCGGACCGGCGAGAAGTCTCTTGGAATTCCAGGAGAGGAGGGAGGAGGATCTCAATGAATTCGTCTCGGCAGTTTGCTGGCGACAGAATTCCAATGTCATTGTCGCTGCCAATTCGCAGGGATTGATTAAAATTTTGGAACTTGTCTAAAAGAGAAGATGGAAATGGGAAACGATTTAGAGAATTTTTAGGCATTATTTCCAAGTTCTTCTTTTCGTTTCTTACAAAGTACGCTTGTACTGGAACTTTGTGCTTTAAAGACGCAATGAATTTGAAGCCAATTAGTAAGGCCTTAATTATTAAAAATTTAAAGCCTCATTTAACGAAAGCAGGCTTCGCACTCAACTACTAAAACCTACTATTAACTATTTATTACTTTTTCTTTACGATTAGCTACTATTTAGACAATTTTTTTTAAATTTCTGACACTGACAACTACTTTTTTCTTTCTCTCAAAATTTCCACTACTTTAAAATCGCTAATAGCTGAAATAAAAAAAATATTTTCATAAAATTCTTATCAACAATTAAAGATATTGATATAAGATTCTTTCAAACAATTCAATTCTTTTCAAAAAAATTTCGAAATTCATTTTCATATCTGCTATTTTAGAATTTCGAAAAAAAAATTCAATTATTTTTAAAAAATTTCGATTTTAATTATTTGAAATACAATTCTTATAATATTTACAAAAAATTCAATAATTTAAATTTTTTATAAAATTATAGTCAAGAATCCAATTATTTTCAGAATTTTTTCATAGAAATTTAATTATTTAAAAAATTTTTAATAAAATTCTTCGTAATAATTCAATTATTTTCGAAAATTTTTCGCAAGAATTCAATCACTATTACAAATAATGAAGTTCTTTGCAAACATTCAATTATTTTCATAATAACACAATTTTAACAAGAATTCAATTATTCAAAATACGAATTTTATAAAATTTAACAAAAAAATTAAATTGTTTCCACAAAAAATAATTTTTTTTCACAGTAATTCAATTGTTTCAAAAAAAATTATAATTCTTCGCAATAATTCAATTACTTACTTAAATTTTAAGAACATTTTTCTCAAGAATTCAATTTTTTTTACAAATAATGAAATTCTTTGCAAGCATTCAATTATTTGAAATATAATTTTTATAAAAATTTATCAAAAAATTACAATTATTTAGAAAAATTAAAATTTAATTTTTCTTTACGAATACAATTATTTTCACAAATAAAAGAAATTTTTTACAGTAATTCAATTATGTAAAAGTTTTTGTTTTAAATTCTTCGTAATGATTCAATTATTTTCGAAAATTTTTTGCAAGAATTCAAATATTTTTACAAATAATGAAAATTATTTTCATAAATAACACATTTTCGACAGGAATTCAATTATTTCAAATACAATTTTTATAAAATTGAAGTAAAAATTTTAATTATTTGAAAAAATTATTATAAAATTCTTGCAAGAATTCAAGTATTTCCACAAAAAATACATTTTTTCATAGTAATTCAATTATTTAAAAAAATTTATGAAAATTCTTCGCAAAAATTCAATTATTTTCAGAAAATTTTTCTCAAGAGTTCAATTATTTTTACAAATAATGAAATTCTTCGCTGAAATTCAATTATTTCTAATTTACTATTTTAGAAAATTTTTCTAAAGGAATTCAATTAATTAAAAAAAATTTTGATAAAACTCTTTATAAACATTCAAATACTTTCATAATTAACACAATTTTAAAAGAAATTCATTTATTTTAATTACAACTTTTGTAAAATTTAAGAAAAATTCAATTATTTAGAAACTTTTTTATAAAATTTTTGACAAGAATTCAATTATTTCCACAAGAAATAAATATTTTTCACAGTAATTTAATTATTTAGAAACAAATTTGATTAATCTTTTTGCAAACGTTCAATTATTTTCATAAATTACACAATTTTAAAAGGAATTCAATTATTTAAAATACAATTTTTATAAAATTTTACCAAAAATTCAATTATTAAAAAAAAAATTCAATAAAACTCTTGGCAAACATTCAATAATTTTCATAAATAATACAATTTTACCAGGAATTTAATTGTTTAAAATATAATTTTTATAAAATTTAAGTAAAAATTTAATTATTTAAAAGACTTTTAGAAAAATTCTAGGCAACAATTGAATTAATTTCATAATTTCAATTATTTAAAATACAATTTTTATAAAATTCAATCAAAACTTCAATTATTTAGAAAAATGTTGCGTATAGAATTCTATTATTTTAGTGATTTAAATAAAATTTGTTTATAAGAATTTATATATTTTTAATGCAATTTTAAATTTATCGTAAAAATTCAATTATTTTAAAAATTTTTCAAAAAAATTCTATTATTTAACGAAATTTTAATAAAATTCTTTGCAAGTATTCAATAATTTTACAAATGATAAAATTCTTTACAGGAATTCTATTATTTAAAAAAATGTTAATAAAATTCATTGCAAGTGTTAAATTATTTTCATAAAAGTTTTGAATAATTTTATTTAAAAATTCAAAAAAAAATTATTGAATTTTTGGAAGAATTACAGTTGTAATTTTTAGAAATAGTTAAATTTAAAATTACAAAGTTTTTACATGGAAATGATTTAAAATATTATTCCCTGGTGGAAAAATAAATAAGTATTTAAATATTTATTTTAAAAAAATTGTTTCGAATTTTGTATAATTTAATTTAGAATTTATGAAAAAAAACTTATTTTTTTGAAAAATTGTAATTAAAATTTTTTGAAAATAGTTAAATTTCCGCAAATAATTTAAAAAGATTAAATTAAATTTTCAACCTATTGAAAATTTTGTTAAATTTAATTGAAATACTTAAACCTTTTATTTTAAAGAATAAGTTAATAAAAAAGGGAATAATTTTGATGATATTTTGATGGTATTCAGGATAAAGTCAAGGAAATATTGAATCAAATTTTTGTGAATTGACTAAAAGAAGTATTTTAAGTCGTAAAATTTAATTTTTCGCTACTTTTCACTACTTTTTTCGGTCTTTAAGATACTTTTTGATACTTTTTGAAAGTGAATTATCCAGTGCGAAGCCTGCGAACGAAATGCAGGCCACAATGTGATAAACAACGACAAAAAATGTTAAGATTAATTTTTCCAATATAATTACTTTAATCGAATCTTATAAGTCACGAAACACAAAATCCTTCAATAAATGCCGAGAATTTATTGCTGATGATGATGATGTCGCTTTATGACTTGTGCAAGAGACTTAAAATACAAATTAATATAGTTTTTACTCTCTTTCTGCGGTAGTATCGGTAAATTCTTAAAGTACAATATCTAGAATAAGAAATGAAAATTCAAACATTGATTATCATCGCAGAAAAGTGTTGCTTAACTTTAAAGATAGTTAGATAATTAATGAATGATTCGTTTCTTCTGTTGCATTGTTGTATTTCTTTTATTTATTTTTTTAAGAAATCTCAGACTGAACTGTAATGATATTAAGTTGTTGGATGAAATGATAATTATTTTAACCGAGGAGAGATAGAACCTAAAAAGCCAACATCAAAATGTAAATATAAATTTCAAAGTGTGGTCTCTGTAATAAAAATAAAAATAATTTCAATGTAAGTATAGACTTATAAAAGTGAATTCTTGAAAAAAGAAAAATTTCATCGTTGAGCTTTTCAGAATTTCAACAACAGTTGTAATCTGAAAAACTTATTTGTAAATACGTTCCAATTATTCATGGAAATTCTTTCTTCATTTCTGCGAATGTTAATTTTAAAAAAAAATTAATAAATACATGTAGGTATTTGACACATTCACGGAAAATGTTTCTTGAAACGAAAGAGAAAAAAAGAAAGAGAGAGAAAGAGATAAATCTACAAGAATTTATAGCAAAATTCAAAAAAGAAAATAAATTCTAACTTAAATTTAAAAAATAGTATATTTTTAGATTGTATTTTAAATGCGCAAATAATGTATTTGTTCAATGTCCAGAAGCATTAGACTTCATTGTATGCATAAATAATAAATTCGTGATTCAGTGTTAACAAAATGTTTTTTTATGTAATTCTAATCCTAATTTCATTTAGATTTTAGACATCAGCATAATAGACTTAAAATTCTTTTTTCTGAATGATTTCAGACGAGACAAATTTTTTTCTTCAGCTTTTTATAAAACTTTTTAAAAAATACTTTTTTTATAGTCAAAAAATTGTTTTTAGTAATTTTTTTATGATCATTGAATTCATTACAAAAATTTGCTATAATAAAAAAAAATTTTCTAAGTTAATTAATACAATTGAAAATGTATCCGAAACTTCCTCTTAATATCCAATAATTGCATTTTAAATAATAAAGATACACTCAGAAAAAGATAGATTTAACTTAGAGCCGACTAAATTATTTAATTTGGTTCAGATAAAAATTTGATTTTTAATAAATAAATTTAAATAATTTGAGGTTCTTTGATTTATTATTTTACACCCAGATAAGTAAAATCGAAAAATTTCTTTCTAGAGCTGGCCCACAATTAAGGAAAGCACAAACAAGAGTTTTTTGGGGCCTTGACGACTCTTTCACGGCTGTTGCTGTTGTTGGTCTCGGGAAACATAACGCTGGCATTAATGATCTTGAGGAAATTCACGAAGGAAAGGAGAATATTCGCGTGGCTGCTGCTGGTGATCTTATTTTTCAAAATATTTTTTCCACTAAAATATAATGCTCGCTGAACATTTATAATTACCTACATGAAAATTTTCTACTTTTTAAGGGGTTAAAGTACTGCAAATTTTTTTATCTTCATTTGTCACACGAAATGCAAATAATTGATTTTTTTAAGTATTTCATTACAAATTTTCAACATTAAATTTTGAAAAATTTTAATTTGCAAATTTTCAAAATAATTGAATTCTCAACGATTTTAATAAAAAATCAAAATGAAAATTAGCTTCAAAAAAGGTATAATATTTCTAAAAGTTACTATTTCTGTTTTTTTTTTTTTGAAATTTCCCACTACTTTAAAATTAAATTCGCTACTATACTAGAAATCAAAAAACTATTCTCAAAAATTATAATCAAATTCTTTAAAACGATTCAATTATTTTCAAAAAATATTCCAAATTCAATTGTTTTCAATATCTAAACATTTCGAAAAAATCAATTATTTAACAAAATTTTTTTACAATTCTTCACAATAATTCAATTATTTTCACTAATAGTAACATTTTCCATGGAAATTCAATTTTCTAAAAAGAATTTTTCACAGAAATTCAATTCTTTTTAAATACTTTAATAACATTTTTCGCAATAATTCAATTATTTTCAAATATTTCAATAAAATTGTTCGCAAGAATTCAATTATTTTTAAAAATAATGATATTCTTTGCTGAAATTCAATTATTTTCAATATCTACTATTTTAGAAGGATTTTCCAAAAGAATTTAATTATTAGAGGTGTGCAAAAAGCTCGAAAAGCCGAGCCGAGCCGGGCCGCAATTTTTTCGAGTCGAGCCGAGCCGAGCCCGAGCCGGGCTCGATGTATCGGGTACCCGAAATTTTCGAGTACCCGAAACATTCGGGTACCCGAATTCACTCGAGTACTCGAATATTTCGGGTACTCGAATGAATTCGGGTAACCGAAATTTTCGAGTACTCGAGTGAATTCGAGCTTTTAAATTAAAAAAATTTTTTTTTTGAAAAAAAAAATTTAATTAAAAATTAATGTAGAAAATTTTGGATTTTCTCAAGGGCTCGAATCAAATCGAGTACTCGAAAATTTCGAGTACCCGAAAGTTTCGGGTACCCGAAAAATTCGAGTACTCGAAATTATTCGAGCTTTTTATAAAGCTCGGCTCGGCCCGAGCTCGGCTCGAGCTCGAACTGAATAGGCTCGGCTCGGCTCGGCTCGAAAAATGAAAAGCTCGAAAATACCCGCTCGAGCTTCGGGTTTCGAGCTTTTTGCACACCGCTATTAATTATTTAAAAAAGATTTCAATAAAACTCTTTACAAAAATTCAATTATTTTCATAATAACACAATTTTAAGAAGAATTGAATTGCCATTTTTACCAAATTTACCAAAAATTCGATTATTTAGAAGAATTATTACAAAATTCTCGACAAGAATTAAATTATTTCCAAAAACAATAAAATCTTTTTTACAGTAATTGAATTATATTTAAACAATTTTTTTTTAATTTCTTCACAATATTTTAATGAGATTTTCGAAAATTTTCGCAAGTTCTCAATTATTTGTAAAAATAATTGAATTCTTGCGAAAAATTTTCTAAAATAATTGAATTTCAGCAAAGAATTTAATTATTTGCTATAAATTTAATTATTTTTAAATTTCTCCTTTGAAATTCGATTATTTTCATTATCTACTGTTTTAGAAAAATTTCCCAAAAGAATTCAATTCTTTGAAAAAAAATTTTGGTAAAACTCTTTGCAAATATTATTCATTTATTTTTATAAATAATACAATTTTAACAAGAATTCAATTAATCAAAATTCAATTTTTAAATTTAACGAATTCAATTATTTTTATAAATAATCAAATTCATTTCGCAGGATTTCAATACAATTTTACAGGAATTGCTCAAAAAATGTAATGATTCTTAAAATTTTAATTTTAATTCCTCGAAAAAATCAATTATTTAAAAAAAAGTTTTTTTTAAAATTCTTTTTAAAATTTTTTTGAAATGAAATAATTCAATCATTCTTTTAGATTTTAATAAAATTCTTTCCAAGAATTCAATTATTTACATAAATAATATTTCGAAAGAATTCAATTATTTACATAAATAATATATTTCGAAAGAATTCAATTATTTCGATAAATAACAAAATTATTCCCGAAAATTCAATTGTTTTCATAAATAACAAAATTCACCACAAAAATTCAATTATTTTAACAAGTAATAAATTTCTTCTTGGTAATTCAATTATTTTAAAAAATTCTAATACAATTGTTCCCAAGTATTCAATTATTTTCATAATTATAATAAAATGCTTTTTAGGAGTTCAATTATTTTCAATAAAATTTAATATAATAACAAAGAGACATTCAATTATTGTCAAAAATTTTAATATATTGATGGTAAAATTTAATTATTTTTAAAAACTTTTAGCAAATCAATAATTTGTAATGTACCTATACTATTTTCATAAAATTTCCAAACAGATTACAATTATTTAAAAAATTTGTTGTAAAAATCATCGTAAGAATTCAATTCTTTTCATGAATAATCAAAATTTTTCAGGAATTCAATTATTTAAATTAAAATTTGCATAAAATTAGTCGAAAGAAATCAATTATTTAGAAATTTTTATAAATACTTAAATTCTTTGTTGAAGAATAAAATTCGTTGCACGAATTCAATTTATTAGCAGGATAAGAAAAAAGTAAATATTTTTGATGAAAATTAGGAAAAAGTCAGGAAAATAAAAAGTATGGAATGGATTTTTTGCAGGGTTGCCACAGGTCAGGGAAGTCAAGGAATTCAGGGAAAAGTCAGGGAAAGTAAAATTGGTCAGGGAAATTGTATTTTGGAAAAGTTACAAATGATTCCAGAAATTCAATCATTTTCAAAATTTTTAATAAATTTCTTCGAAACAATTCAATTATTTTCTTAAGTAATAAAACTTTCACAGGAATTCAATTATATTTAAAATACAAAATTTCATAAAATTTTTCGACAAATATCAATTATTTAAAAAGATTTTTATAAAATTCGTCCCAAGAATTCAATTATTTAAAAAAATTTAACAATAAGTTCTTTTCAAGAATTCAATTATTTTTATAAATAATAGAATTCTTCACGGAAATTCAATTATTTTTATAAACTTGAATAAAATTCGTTGGAAGAATTAAATTATTTTCAAAAGTAATTGATTTAAAAATGAATTACCGAAAAATCGATTTATTATTTATGAAAATAATTGAATTATTGCAACGAATTTTATAACATTTTTTTTAAATAACTGAATTTTTTGAGAAATTTTACTACTTTTAAAAATAATTGAATTCTTGCAAAGGATTTTATTAGGATTTTTGTAAATAATTTTTTTTTTTTGAAAAATTTTATGGTGATTTAAATTATTACAAAACATGAAGAAGGCGATCATTCCGAGTCTTCAACTCTGAGTGATCGCCTTCTTCATGTTTTGTAATAATATTCTTATTAGTTGTTGAATTTCAGAAAGGTTTGAATTTGAATGTTATGAAGAATTTGAATTCCTACTGAAAAATAATAATGAATAAATATTTATTTAAAAAAGAAGTTATTGATGTTTTTGAATAATTTTACAATTAAAGAAATTTGTAAATAAATGTAATAAAGCACTTTTTTTGAGTAACTAATAATTTTTAAAGTAAATCAGAATATTCTTTAGGGTCAGGGAAAAAGTGAAAATTTGGACTGGAAATCAGGGAAAAGTCAGGAAAAGTTAAAATTAAATATTTGTGACAACCCTGTTTTGTCAGTTTTGTGAAGTGTCTATAACAAGTTTTTTGGTCGTCGATTTTAATTTTTCGATAGCAACTTTTTAACTTGTTTTTTTAGTTTGAAAGCTACTTTTTGCTACTTTTTTAAAATTAATTATCGAGTGCGAAGTCTGTATGTTAATATAAAACTCCCCTTAATCTAACTATTAATCCTTAAATAATTGTTGTTCTTCTAATATAGAAAGTAGTGTTTAATTATGTTTAGCTGGATGCCGAGCGTTAGAGGCCGTGGAAATTCAGGACATTAGTGTAGAAACTTTAGGAGATGCGGAAGCTGCTGCGGAAGGTTCAATAATTTCTACCTGGACTTTCCAGGAATACAAGGCCAAGGACAAGAGGAAAACACTGCCAAAAGTTTCTCTCTACGGAAACGAAGAGGAGTAAGTACACACTGGTGCTGATTAGAAAAACAATAAAAAAACTGATAATCACTTTTGACTAGTCCAGAAAATGCATTATCACTTTTTGATAAGTTCTCTCTTTGTTCATTAAAGGAAAGAATGGAAAATAGGCCAGATAAAGGCGGAAGCTCAAAATTGGGCGAGAAAACTTTCCGATACACCTGCCAATTTAATGACTCCTACGATATTTTCGGAGGAAGTGACGAAAGTTCTTAAGAGCGTTGGAGTTTCAGTTCAGGTTCACGACAAAGCATGGGCAGAAAATAAAAAAATGGGCTCGTTCCTAAGTGTGGCTCGAGGAAGTTGTGAGGAGCCGAAGTTCCTTGAAATCTCCTATAAAGGAGGTTCCGATCCCCCAATTGCTTTCGTTGGTAAAGGCGTTACCTTCGATTCTGGTGGAATTTCCCTCAAGGTATCAATTATTATTTCAATAATTTTTATTATTTAAGCCTCGGATTGTATTAATTTTTCACCTTTTTCCATTATTTTCAAAAAATTCGACTTTCCCCTACTTATTGCTGTATTTAGTCTGCCATATTGGATCCGCCATTTTGATTTTTAACACTTTGATTTTAACTTTCTAATTAGTAACCATAAAAATTCCCAAGAAGCATGTTTCGGTCAAAATGAACAAAATTATTGTAATATTCCATGTACTTAGTATTTGTTTATAACAATTATTTATAACAAATATTTATAATTAAACAGGGCTCGAACTAGGTCCGTAAATTTGTTTAAAGTCCGTAAAAGTCAGTTTTTAAAACAAAAAGTTCCGTAAAGTTCGTAATTTTAATTTGATTGAAAAAGCAAGAAAAGTTCGTAAATTTAACGATATAATTTGGAGAATTTTTGAGAAGTTACAAATAATTACAAAATTTCAATTATTTTCAAAAGTAATAAAATTCTTCAAAGAAATTTCAATTCTGTTCGAAAATTTTTAGAAATTCTCATCAAAGTATCAATTATTTTTATAAATACCTAATAAAATTCTTCTCTGAGATTCAATTATTTTTAAAAATTTTAATAAAATTCTTGAAAAAATTCAATTTAGAGAAATAACAAAATTCTTCAAAGGCATTCAATTATTTTTATAAATTTAATAGTAAAATTCTTTGCAAAAGATTTATTAATCGAGACATTGGTCGGAACGAGTGTGGTTGAAGAGTTGTGTGAATTTTTTAAAATAGTAGAAAAGAAAATCAGAGGCGAGATGTAAACATATAATATTTGTATTTAGTGTTAAAACATAAATTGTAAAAACTCTGTATAGGGTATACAATGAAATAAATCTATCTATCTATCTAGTAAAATTCTTTGCAAATATTCGAATATTTTTTATACAACTTTTAAAAAAATTTCATGAAAGAATTCAATTTTTTAAAAAAATTTTAATAATATTTTTCGAAAGAATCCAATTATTTTCTAAAATTTTAATAAATTCTTCGAAGCAATTTAATTATTTTTTTAAGTAGTAAAATTCATCGTAAGAATTAAATTATTTTTCATAAATAATAAAATTCTTCTCAGGAATTCAATTATTTTCAATACAATTATCAACAAATTCGATTGTATTTTCAATAAATTAAAGAAAGTTTTCGAAAGAGTTCAATTATTTTCTAAAAATTTTAATAAAATTGAAGAATGAAATGTTTAGGTTCAATTATTAAGAAACACGATTATTGTAAAAACTTGAAAGAAATTATTCATATAAAATTCAATTACTTTCAAAATTTTCAATTAAAATTATAATTAAAGAAACTTTATTATTTTAAAGAAATTCAAAGAAATTATTCAAAATAATTTAATTATGATTCTGAAAAATTGTAATAAAATTCATCCCAAAAATCCAATTATTTTCATAAATAATAAAATTCTTCGAAGAAATTCAATTATCATCAAATTTATTTTTTGATAAAATTCTGTGCAAGAATTCAATGATTTGCAAATTTTTTTTAAAAAAATTTTTTGCAACAATTCAACTATTTTTATGAATAATATAAAATTTTTACAGGGATTCAATTATTTTCGTAAAATAATAAAATTCTTTTTAGGAATTTAATTATTTTCATAAATAATAAAATTTTCACAAAAATTTAATTAAATTTTCAAACACAGTTTTCATAAAATTTTTTGAAAAAAATCAATTATTTTAAAATGAATTTTATAAAATTTTTCGCTAGAATTCAATTATTTAAAAAAATCTTAATAAAATTCTCCGCAAACATTTAATTATTTTTCTAAAACAATAAAAATTTCACAATTATTTACAAATTTTTCATAAATTTCTACGCAATAATTTCATTATTTTTATAAATAATAAAATTTTTTACAATGATTCAATTATTTTTTTAAATAATAGAACTCATTGCAAAATTTCAATTCGATAAATAACAAAATTATTTCCGAAAATCCAATTATTTTGAGGCATTTTAATAAAATAATTATAATTAATATTCAATTAACTATTCTCAAAAATTTTATTGCAATTCTTCAAAAGAATTCAATTATTTAAATTTAAATAAATAAATATTTCAAAATTTGTTTATAAAATTCTTTATGAGAATTTAATTTAAAGAAACATTCAATTATCCAATAAGTTATTAATTTTTGTATTTAAATAATTAAATTCTTGTTGAATTTTCTAATAAAAATTGATTTAAAAATGAATTTCAGTTAAAATTTTGTATTTAAATAATTGAATTCTCGGTGAATTTTCTTATAAAAATTGTTTTAAAAATAAATCTCAGTTAAAATTTTGTAGATAATATTTGAATATTAATAATTGAATATAAGAGCATGAATTTTTAGAAATAATTGAATTCTGAAAAGGTTTTAAATTAAAATCTTCGAAAATTTAAATTTTATCTAACAATTCTGTGAAATTAATTTTTTTTGAAAGGTTTAATTGAATTTTTTGAAGTTGTTATTTTTTAATATATATTTAATTGAAGAATTTACGAATAATCGAAATTTTCGGTAAAATTGAAAAGTAAAGTTGTAAACAAATAAATTTGAAAATTGTCAAAGAACTTTTTCGAAAATTATTTAAAATAATTGTTTAAAAAAGTTTAACAATATTCTTATAATATAAAATAATGATTTTATCACTCGGTCATCTTTAATTATTATAAAACATGAAGAAATCGATATCTTCATGTTTTATAGTTATGGAAAAATTTAATTTATAGTTTTAAGTAAAATGTTCTCTTATTTAACTCGGACTGCTTATATTTTTGTCAGTAATAATTGGTCCGTAATTTTTAATTTTTGGTCCGTAAATTCCGTATTTTTAAATTTAAATACTTTCACTGGTTCGAGCCCCGTAATTCTTAAAAAAACATTTATTCACTATTTATATTTTAGAATCTCGATTTTTAAACTTGCTTCAAGTATCTGGATACAAATATACATAATTTTAAAAAATATGAAAATGGTTGAGCAGTTAAAATTTGTAATATTGTGATTTTTTTCAGTCTAGCGCGTCAATGTCAGAAATGAGAGCGGACATGGCAGGTGCAGCTTGTGTCGTTGCTGCCATAAAAGCTGCAGCCGAATTAAAGCTCGAAAAGAACATCCTCGGTTTGATTCCCTTAACGGAAAACTTGCCATCGGGTCACGCTACCAAGCCTGGAGATTTAGTTGTTGCCATGAATGGAAAAACGATTATTGTCGATAACACGGACGCTGAGGGTCGACTTATTCTCGCTGACGCTCTGTGTTACGCTCATGAACTCAATCCCAAGTAATTGCCATTTTTTACAAAAATATTATTTCGCTTTCTTTGCACATTTGAAAAAATACACAAGATTAATCCAAATTTCAATTAATATAATATTAATTAATTCAATTATTATTTAATTAATCAATATAATATTAATTAATTCAAATAATGTTTAATTAATCAATATAATATTAATTAATTCAATTAATGTTTAATTAATCAATATAATATTAATTGAAATTAATTTACAAAGTAAAATTGAAAAAAATTTTATTTCAAGCCTTAAAATTTTGAGAGTAATAACTAATGAATTGATTTTCTGCTTAGATTCATTGTGGATGTTGCAACTTTGACTGGCGCTGTGCAAATAGCATTGGGATCGGCAGCCACTGGAGTATTTTCAAATAATACCGAATTATTTGAAGCAATCAAAAATTCTGGAACTCTTAGTGGGGACAGAGCATGGAGATTACCGCTCTGGAAATTTTTCACTGATAAAGTAGCGAGTAAGTACAACGTACATTAAATTAAAGCAAATACCTTTAGGTATCTCTTCAAGGGACCCAAATAATGAAGTAAAAAAATCGCGGTGAGAATAAATGCAAAAAATATACTTAAAAGTTGATATTTTCTTTTACGAAAAAATTTTCAAAAGTAGGGTGAAAAAAAATTAAATATGGACACCACAAAAATTAGCAGAATGTCACATAACTCCGGGCATTTATTTAGGGTGATAACACCCTTCTATAATTAAAATTGCAATGCTCTAACTATTTCCGTTCGAAAGATAATGAATTTTAACTGTTTTCACAGTTTAACCTTTCGCCCCAGTCTCCCCTACCTATTTAAAGAATTTTATTTCTCTAAAGAATTGGATTTTTTTCAAGAATTTTATTAAAATTTTTAAAATTAATTAAATTTCAGAGAAGAATTTTATTATTTAGAAAGATAATTGAAATTTTGACGAGATTTTTTGTAAATTTTTTAACATATATTACTTTTGAAAATATATAATTGAATTCTTGAGAAGAATTTTATAAAAAATTTCTTTTTAAATAATTGAATTCTTTTGTGAAATTTTATTGAAATAGAGTAGACATTGAAAATAATTGAATTTCATTGATAAATTTTAATAAAATTTTTATGAATAATTAAAGGAATTCCATTGAAATTGTATTAAAAATAATTGAAAGTCTGCTATATGAGTTTTATTATGTATTTATGAAAATAATTGAATCCCTGTAAAAAATGTTATTATTTATGATAATAATTGAATAATAATTTATGAAAATAATTTGTAAATAATTGAATTTCTCCAATTATTTGTAATTGCTTCAAAATTTAATTTGTCTTAGTGTTTTTAACTAAAACGGTTTTTTGACTCTTGTGACTAAACGAATCAACCGATTTCATTATTCGATGGCTTGTTTGAAAGATCATTTAATTGCGCAACTTTTTCCCAGAGGCACCTATACTTTATCTTTTATTGTTTAGTTGCTGTGTTAACTTTAAAAAATTTTGCAAACGGTCCGGTTTGCCCCACCCCCTGGGGTAAACCGGACCGTTTGGTTTTTTATTTATAATATTGCATTTACATAATCTGCAATTATAAAAAACATAAAGAATCATGTAAACAATGGTTGTAGTAATGAAAATAATAATACGGGATTGAATTTTAATTAAATAAATATTTTTTTTAATAAAAAAATAAAAATGTTTGTTATTATCAGAGAAACAATATTAAAGGGTTCAATTCTTATTGGAAGACAATTATTTTTCATTGTAAGTAAATATTTTAATGAAAGAAACATTTTATTTAAAAATAATTTTTATCAAACTTTAATTCAATGGAAATATCTTATGGTGTCAAAACCCAAGACCTAATATTTGGAAAAATTACTCGATTTCCTCAGAATTTCCTTAAGGAAAAATTCGTAAAAGTGTAGAAAAAAGCTAAAAAAAAAACTTTTGCTCCCTTCGTCACACAAACGCAAGCTAAAACTGTCAGATTGAAAAAATAAGGTATACTAAACATGGTTGTTTTAAATTTGTAAACAACACTTTTTCCAATTTCGTCATTTTGGAAATATTGGGAGGGGTCCGGTTTGCCCCACTCTCCCCTATTAAAAAATTCAGCTAATTTTAGAAGAATTTTTTTAAAAATCTAGGTTTTTGAAAATTTTTAATTAAATTCATTTAAAATTGCAATATTAAAAATTAATTTCAAATTAAGAAGTGCATCTGTTTATAGAAATTGTAAATACAACTCTTTTAAAATCCAATTAATGTAGTAACATTTAAGTAAAATTATTCATTAAATAGGGGAGAGTGGGGCAAACCGGCCTGGTGGGTAAACCGGACCCCTCCCAATATTTCCAAAATGGCGAAATTGGAAAAAGTGTTGCTTACAAATTTAAAACAACCATGTTTAGTATACCTTATTTTTTCAATCTGACAGTTTTAGCTTGCGTTTGTGCGACGAAGGGAGCAAAAGTTTTTTTTTAGTTTTTTTCTACGCTTTTACGAATTTTTTCTTAAGGAATTTTTGAGGAAATCGTGTAATATTTCCAAATATTAGGTCTTGGGTTTTGAAGGTACACACCTCAGGAATATTTACCACCAAAAACTTTGATGAATTTGCAAAGCGTTTCTTTTTGACAAACATTTATTCCCAAAATGAGCCTGTGGGGCAAACCGGTCCGTTTTCAGTGGGGCAAACCGGCCATAGGATATTTTCATTGTATCAGAGTTTAAAAAAAATTATTATTAATTAGAATGTTTTTTTCATTAAAATATATACTTTCAATGAAAAATAATTATCTTCCAATGAGCATTAGACCCTTCAATATTTCAATATACAATATAACGCATTGTGGTAATTAAGAAATGCCACAATGCGTTCTGGATTCTTTTATATTTGCCATTACGCGTTTTGGTAATTTAGAAAAATCATAACACATTTTGTTGCTTGCAAACAAGGTGTATACTAATTACCTGTCTTATTATTTGATACTTAATTAATCAATTTTCTATTATAAGTATGTCATTAGCCTCTACGATTATAATACCTTTGAAATTTTCTTTATTCAATGAATAGTTACAGTAGTAAAATTTCCACATCGGTAATTGCTAAAGTAGATTTAATTAAAAATTTTTGTAGTCTTTGTGTAATATTTATATTGTGACATTTATATAATTTAAAAAGCTGTGCAGGATTTTAACAATAATATTAATAACTCATAATGGATAATAAAGAGGCAATATTTTTTGAGAAATTAAGTGAATTGATAAAGAATAGCACGGTACGTTATTTATTATTTTTATATAAATTAAGCAAGTAAAAATAAAACAATGAAAAAATATAGATCAAAGTACAAAATAATAAAATACAAATGATTATGTTTAAAGTTAATTTCGGGTATTTATAGTTTAAATTATTTGTAAATAAAATTATATGTTATTTGCTTAAAAAATACTACAGTTATTTATTTCTTATCATTTCTAAATTACCAAAACGCGTAATGGCAAATATAAAAGATTCCAGAACGCATTGTGGCATTTCTTAATTACCACAATGCGTTGTGGCCGAATATTGTAGCAGCCACAAAGCGAATTTCGCGTTGTGGCCCTTTTCAAATTACCACAACGCGTTTTGAGCACTTTTTGCCATGCCACAACACGAATTTCGCGTTGTGGACAATTTGAAGGAGCCACAACGCGTTGTGGACTATATTTTCGCTCAATGAGCGTTTTCGGTCTTTGAGCCTAACATATATATATATATAACAATAATGTAATTTTTACATTACATGTCACATGAAAATTAATGAAAGCGTGAATGCCAATGAGACGATAATGAAAAATATGTTCATTACATTATTTTTGACTTATTAATTATCAAAAATAAATTACATTTAATTACAATTAATTATTTTTTTGTTATTTTGTTTCTAATAGTTTTCTAGTCAAAATTAATTATTATTATTTTCATATCATTAACATTCAAAAATTCAATTATTCAGAAGAATTCTACACAAAATCACTATTTTTCTAAATTTATTCAGGGAAATCAGGAAAAAGTCAGAAAATTTTGTCAAAAGTGCTGGAATAATATTCAATTTCAAGAATTCATAAGAAAATTCTGAATGTTATTCTTGAGCATTGAAAAGATTTTATATATTTCAAACTCTTCCTGTTTTTAACAATAATTAGTCTTTACAGATTTAAAATTAATTTTCTTAAATAATTTAATTTTTGAAAAACTATCGAGAAAAAATTATTTTTTAATAATTATTTTGGAATAATTTTTTATTTAAAAATTAAAAAAATAATTGAATTTTATGAAATTTGTATTTAAAATTTTTTTATAAATAATATAAATAAGTAGTAAATATCACGCCTGCCAAACAAAGTATTTAATTTATTATTATTATTATTATCATTACTCAAAAGAAGTTCGATTATCTTTACAAAATTTCAATAAAAAAATCTTCGAAAAATTTTATGAAAAATTACAAAAATGTTATCTTTTGAAATTATTACAGGTGACAGCTAAAAAAACGCCCGTGTAGTTTCTCCTAGTATTAGTAGATAATTAATAATAATGCCTATTAACAATAAAAACTAGTACTTAATCACTTAACTACTTAATCACAAAAAATAATTTAAAATTTTTAAAAAATTTCGTTAAAAATTGAAAGTTACAAAATATATCACTGCTTTGCTAACTTTGCATAAAATTTCATATTTGTGCCTTCAAAAAATGAATTTAAAAATGTTTTGATAAAATTCTTTATCAGACTTAAATTTTAAGAAATTTTAATTATTCAATAAATTATTTATTCTTGTATTTAAATTATTGAATTCTCTAATAAAAATGTATTTCAAAATGAATTTCAGTTAAAGTTCTACATAATAATTGAATATTAAAAGCATTATAGCATGAATTTTAAGAAATAAATAAATTTTAAAATGGTTCCAAATCAAATTCTTTAGAAATTTGTATTTTTCATACTTATAGCTAACAATTCTGTAGAATTAATTATTTTAAAAAAGTTTAATTAAATTTTTTTCTGAAATTATTTGAAGTATTTATTTTTTAATTCGTATTTAGTTGAAGAATTTCTGAATAATTTAAATTTCGTAAACAAATGGATTTTAAAATTCTCGAAGAACTTTTTTCAAAAATTATTAAAAATAATTTATTCCTGTGGGAAAATAGTAATGATTAAAATTTATTTAGAAAAGAAGTTATTGATGTTTAAAGAAATTCGTAAAAAATGTAATGGAACATTTTTTGGAGTATCTAATCATTTTTAGAGAGAATCAGAATATTCTTTAGAGTCAAGGAAGAAGTCAAAATTTTGTTAAGTATAATAAAGTTTTTCATATTAAAAAAAAGAAAACATTTTACAGGATTTACATTTGTTAATTTTCTAAAATGTTTGTTACAAACTGCTAATTTTTTAGAATCAAAGGAAATAATAAATAATATAATAATATTAATAATTTTTTTAGATTAATAAAAATATTTTTGAATTATTTGAGAAATAAAAATAATATTATTAAATTAAAAAAATAAAAACAAAATAAAGAAATGTAATATTATCTATCAAAACATATAAAAAACAAAAGCATAAATTTTCTTAAAAAATTGTTATTTTATATTTTATTTCTATTTTCTATCAAAACGAATAAAAAAAAATAACCATGACTAACTTCAGGTGTGGACAGACTGGACAGAATGAATACGACGATTATTATAGTTAATTGTTCACATGATTCTTTATGTTTGTTGTTATTGTAGATTATACAAATGCAATATTGTAGATAAAAAACCCAACTGACCGGTTTGCCCCATGGGGTGGCCGGTTTACCCCAGGGGGTGGGGCAAACCGGTCCGTTTGCAAATTTTTTTAAAGTTAACACAGCAACTAAAAAGTATAGGTATAGGTATAAAGTATAGGTGCCTCTGGGAAAAAGTTGCGCAATTAAATGATCTTTCAAACAAGTCATCGAAAAATGAAATCGGTTGATTCGTTTAGTCACAAGAGTATGGCCGGTTTGCCCCACTCTCCCCTAATTTTTAAGCAATAATTTTATGATAGTTCTTCAAAAATTTAGTTACTTAAAAAGAAATTATTGTTAGAAGTAGAAAAAATTAAGGCTTTTTTAATTCGAAATAACAAATTTCGAAAATTAGATAATTTTGTAAAGTAATTTTTCTGGGATAATCAAGAACCCCAATAGAAGAAAATTTATTAGAAAAAATTCAATTACTTAAATATGTTATTGGTCTGTAGTAAAATATTATAAATATTCAATATATAATTTTACTTAATTTTATTTTCAATTGCTTCAAAATAATGGAATAGATTGTTAAAAAAAACAATCTATTCAATATCTATAAACTAAATTGTGGACAGAAATTACATTAGCATAATGAATCTGTAATGACATAGAAACCAACCAAGTTTTCTACCAAAAACAAATAACTAAAAAATCAGTCACCTTCGGTTTTTCACTCTGAAGTGATCACTAAGATTCGGTAAAGGCAAAATGGCCATGTACAAGTCGAAATTGGCAAAAATTATCATTTTACTTCAAGGATTACTACTAATCCGTGTTGTGAAATCCTTACCATTTGGAGACATCTTTAAACAGATAAGGGAACATGAATTCGAGGCGTATCAAACGATAATAATGCACGACGAGCAAACAGAAAATCTGGATACAGGAAACGAAATCTTTCAGGCTGCAATTAAAATTACGCCAAGTAGAATAATAAACTTCATTCAGCAAGATCCAATGGAGCTTAAAGCTGCAATTACTTCGCGAAGTTTTCATGAAAGTACCCTTTTTGTAGTTGTTCTAGAAAACTCTGAGGAAATAATTGAAGAGTTTTTCGATTTTATGCAGAGATGAAGGTCTTTGAATACACATCTTTGTATTCAAGTAACGTGAATAGTGAAATGATGAAAACTATTTCAAACGTAATGAACTTTAGTCTTGTAGGAATATATCCAACGGAATGCTATTCTTTAGACAATCCGTCGAATTGTTATAAAGATGTAATGAAAAATTGTTTAAAGAATAGAACCTGTAATTTTGTTTCAATCAACGATCAGTCAGATAACACAGATGAAAAATCATATAATCTGGCTTTAATAATAATATATCCACCGAACTCATTTTTAGTACCTAAACAGAAGATCACTAAGTCTTTATTTACAAAATCCATTTATTTGGCTGTTTGCTGTTGCGTCTTTATAGTTCTCCTATGGACACTTTTTCGTTTTTTAAAGTTTAATAGGCGCTTTTGGAAGTTGCTGCATCTTTGGGAATTGTTACTGGGAATGTCAGTTCCTCTGGATGTTGAAAAACTCAGGGATAGAATTGCTCTAATAACGCTTTGCTTCGGGTTTTTGGTATTGTCTTCAAGTTTACATTCAATTTTGACAACAGTCGAATTATCCACGGACTACGAACATATATTTGAGATGAAGGGTAACGGCAAGACATGGGTCGTAGACGGCATGGATTTTCCGTTTGCATTTGACATAAGGGGATTAAATACCACTATATGCACCTGATGAAAAGAACAACTAATTATACGGTGATTGAAGATTGTTTAAATGACCTTTTCAAGAATAAAGCAGTTATTTGTCTTGTAGACAAAATATCAGCTCGACAATTGATTCTAATGGATTTGAAAGAAGAAGGAATTTCAACTATCAAGACATTAGATGACGGTGCTGTAATGTCTGTAACATATAATCTTTGTTTTGAAGATAATTCCCCCCTTGTTTTTGAATTAGAACGTCATATGAATAGACTTTGGCAAACTGGTCTAACCTACAAGTGGCAAGTGGAATACCGTACAGTTGACTTAAAAAACATCACAAATGTTTCTCAGTTCTTAGAAAATGAGGATTCACTTACTATTAATCAATTCATAATACTTGGTATTGGATTTACTATTGCAATTATTGTGTTCATTGCAGAATTGTCGTTTTAAGTTGCTAATTTTTGATAAATTAAGCACTTAAAGAAAGCAGAAGAAATTATTTGTCAGGTAATACAATTTCGTTTTTTCTTTCACTAACAAGCCTTTATCACAACTATTTTAAAAGAACTTTGAAAAAAGAACGACGTTACTGTTTTACAATGAAGTCAAAATGTAACGCTGTTACTGTCAAAAAGGAACGCTAACTTTTTTAACAAAGTAACGCTAACTTGATCAGGGGTTGCCACAAAAAATTAATTTTCATATTCCCCGATTTCCAAACAAAATTTTGTCTTTTTCCCTGACCCTAAAGAATATTCTGGTTCACTCTAAAAATTATTTATTAGATATTAAGAAACTGTTCTATTACATTTATTTATGAATTTTTCTTAATTGTAAAATTATTCGAAAACATCAACAAATTCTTATTTAAATAAATATTTAATCATTATTATTACACTGGAGACTCCAGAGAGAGTGACTATAGAGAGTAAAACTTCGGTCGCGACGCGGTAGGGGGACAAAAGGAGAGAGATAGGAGGCGCATGATTATTCCCCAAATGTCATTTGAATTGTCACCGAAATATCACTAAATTGCATTTATCCGAACTGTTGTTTTAACGAAATGTCACTTTTGCGAAATATCATTTTTACGAATTGTCATTTTTACGAATAGTTATTGTTCCGAAATGTCAGTTTTGCTAATCAACGTTTTTACGAATTGTCACTTTTGCGAATCGCCATTTTTACGAATTGTCAATTTTCCGAAAAGTCATTTTTGCGAATCGACATTTTTACGAATTGTTAAATTTCCGAAAAGTCATTTTTGCGAAAATTCCTATAGTCAATCTATATATGCATACAAGTTTACTATAGGAATTTTCGCAAAAATGACAATTTGCAAAAATGACTTTTCGAAAAATTGACAATTCGTAAAAATGGCGATTCGCAAAAATGACTTTTCGGAAAATTGACAATTCATAAAAATGGCGATTCGCAAAAATGACAATTCGGAAAAATGGCAATTCGTAAAAATGACTTTTTGCAAAAATGGTTTTTCGCAAAAATGACATTTCACATAAATGTCTTTTCGTAAAAATGACAATTCGCAAAAATGACTTTTCGAAAAATTGACAAATCGTAAAAATGGCGATTCGCAAAATGACTTTTCGGAAAATTGACAATTCGTAAAAATGGTCATTCGCAAAAATAGCTTTTCGCAAAAATGACAATTCGCAAAAGTGACATTTCGCAGAATTGGCTTTTCGCAAAAATGAGTATTCGCAAAAGTGCAGTTCGGTAAAATGACATTTGGGGAATAATCATGCGTCCCATTAAAAAGATTGAACTAAATTCAGAAGAATTTAAATTATTAAAATTTTCCAAATATCTAAGTACTTTAAAATTTCGAATTAAATTCATTCAAAATTAAAATTTTATAAATTAATTTCAAAAGGTTTTAATTTGAAATTGGTTGGTTTCGCAGTAACAAAAACCAACCAATTTTAATTCTCAATATAAACTTCTGATGTTTAAGTCTTCATTATATCTCAAATAATTAGTAAACACTAATTTTAGGTTTACACAATTAGAATTAAACAAAAACCTTTATTTAAAGTAAAAAGAATGCAAACATAACCTTAAAATTATTTTGCTTCTACCTTTCTTCGGAGCGCGTCACATTTAATTTTAGACGTATTTTAAATGAAATTTTCTATTTTTTTAATAATCAAATTCTCAAATTAGTTAAAAATTCTAAAAGAAAATAATTGAAGTTTAGAAGAATTACTGTTGTAATTTTTAGAAATAATTAAATTTTGGAAGATTTGAAATTGTTGTTTTAAAAAATTTTAAATTTTGTGACTAAATAACTAAAAAGTATTTAAACTAATTTATCGGAATTAAATGTTTTCATTAATAAATTACTCAAAATATTTATATCTGTCTTATTTCAGAGGCCGAGAAAACAGCAGATTTAAATAATATAAGTAAGTCCACCAAAGCTGGTTCTTGCAGCGCTGCTGCATTTCTGAGGGAATTTGTAGATAGTAAAATGCCCTGGATGCATTTGGACATTGCCGGAGTGATGAGCGCCAGTGACTCCGGTCATCCTTACATTCCCAGCGGCATGTCCGGACGTCCTACCCGCACTCTGATTACCTTCTTGCAACAAGTCTCCTAATAGGACCAAACTTCAGCCACGCAACTTTTACACTCTTTCTATCTTGCAACTGATATCTACTAACTGTGCAGAGATTCTTTCCTTCTTGTGCTCCACTTGCGACTGCAAGGGAAAGAAACGTTACCGACTTTATAACTTACATAATTTACAGTTTTAATTTATAATTTAAAAATGAACAATACTTTTAACCATCTCGAATTGTCAGGTCACGTCTTTTCAAAATATTTTTTGACTGATTTTATTGAATTTCCTTCAAATATAATTTTAATAAATAATTAAAATAATAAATATGATGACAAATTTAAAAAATGTCCTGAAAATTTTTTTTAAAAAAAGAAGCAATTTGGTTTTTTTGGCCTAAACTATGAAAGGATAAAAATGATTTTATGGAAGAATTAAACAATTTTTTTGATATAGTTAAAAATGTTAACAATTACAAAAAGAAGTGACCTGATAATTCCGTAACTCCGAAAAACTGAAACTAGTTAACACGTTCTCGTCCCGAAGAAGAATGAATTAGCTCATTGAATAAATTTACTGTCAAAATTTGATATCTATTAAATTTTTCGAATGGACAGTTTTAAGAAGTTAGCTGTAATAGCCAAAATTAGTCTAAATTTAATTTAAAAATTCTCTTTTTTTAAAATTTGTTGTCGTTTAGAGGATTGGAACTGAGAAATGAATAAGTTAAATTAAAATTAAATTATCTTTGTAATAAACGTATATAGTTTTGGGAGTTTTTATACATAAAGAAATCCAACTAAAAATTATGTAGCAGATGAGTAATAATAATGTTTATAAAGACTCATCATCATCAATTGTATCTTTTGTGTAATAAATTATCAGTTACATTATTATTCTTTATAATAAGTGGTCACTTTATTCGAGATAAAATTATCATCAAGCTAAAGAATACGATAAATAGAGTAAGTTATTGATTAAGTAATAGAATTCTCGTTGCTTAAAAAGAAACGGACAATCGGCTAATTTTAAACTTAAACTAAAACTTAAAAGTACTTCGCAAGTGGGAGTAATTTACATGTTGTAGACTTATAGGTATATACAGAGTAATTGCTGCTGTAAAATCGAAGAAGCTTTCCGGACTGCCCGGATAAACCACGCTTGCTCTTTCATTTCCATCGAGAAGACAATCAAGTGCGCTGACGAGGCAAGTAAAAAGGCCTGAAAGTACCAAAAAAGCAATGGAGACTAAAATGAAAATTACAACTAAATAAGATTACTCTAAGGTTCTCTAAGCAGGGTGTCTACTATTTTCGTTCAACAAAATTCCCGGCTTTGTACTAATTTTTCCCGGTTTTTTTTCTCATCAAATTTAAATTTATTTGATTTCGAACATAAATAAATCTTCAAATGGCTTCCAAAATATTATTAAAGTTTTTATGAGTAATTAAATTCTTTTGACAAGTTTCTTTAAATTTTTTGAAAATTATATTTTTTTAAAAATAATTTTAATTAAAAATTTACGAAATAATTGAATTAAACAAAGAATTTTTTCAATTTTTTAAAATATTTTTTTAAATATATTAATACTAATTGAATTTCTGCAAAGAATTTTTCTATTTATAAATTGAATTCTCTTGACAAATTTCAATAAAATTTTTAAGAATAATTGCATTTTTCGAGAAATTTGATGAAAATTGTATTTAAAAAAATTGAAATTCTACCAAGAATTTTATTGAAAGTTTTGAAAATAATTGAATTGTGGAGAACAATTTATTTATTTATAAAGATAATTAAAATTTAGAGGAGAATTTAAAAAAAATTTTTAAACATAATTGAATTTCTGCAAAGAATTGAATTCGAAACAATTGAATTGTTTTTTTTAGAATTTTATAGAAATTTATAAAAATACTTGAATTCTTGTAAAGAATATTTTTTAAAAATAATATTGAAAAGAATTTAGTAATTGTGAAGAATTTTACTATTTATGTAAATAATTGAATTCTTGAGAAGAATTTTTTTTACAGTTTTTAGAAATAATTTAATTTTTTCGACGAATTTTAATAAAATTTTTAAAAATAATTACATTTTTCGAGGAATTTGATTAAAATTTTATTGTATCAAAAATAATTAAAATTCTGCAATGACTTTTACAATTTATGAAAATAATTGAATATATTGCGAAGAAATTTTAATTATTTTTAATAGAATGTAAAGAAATTTCAACTATTTCGAAAATTTTCAATTATTTATTTATAAAAATTCAATGATCTTGAAACAACAGAATTGAAAAATTTTTAAAATCTTATTTTTCAGAATTATTATTTTTATTAAAAGTTCGTAGATTTTAAAATTCATGCGTAATTTTATCAAACAAAATTTTGCTTCATGAAAAAAATGATTTTTTCTATTTTTGAAGCATTTTTTGGGAAAAAAAGTTTTTATGATGAAAATGCTAAAAAATTTCTATTTTTATTCAATTTTTTTATATGGAAATTCATTTGTTTATTTTTCTAACTAATTTCAAATCCTATCTTTTTAAAAATAAAACATGAAAAAATTGATTTGAAACTAAAAAATTAACAAAAAAATTTCCAAAAGTTTTAATTTTTTTGTTTTCAACTATTTTTAAATGGCATAATTTTTTCATCTTTTTTATTTTAAAAAATTGATTTGAAATTAGTTGGAAAAATAAACAAATGAATTTTCATGTAAAAAATTAAATAATAGAAATTTTTTAGCATTTTCATTATAAAAACTGTTTTTTCAAAAATAAAAAATGCTTCAAAAATAGTTCGGCAATTTTTTTTATCAATACAAAAACATATTTTCTACAAATTACGGATGAATTTTAAAATTTACGAATTTTCATGAAAAATAAAAATTCAAAAAGGAATTAAAAAATATGAAAAAATTATAAGAAAATAGATTATTTGAAAATAGTTGGAAAAAAATACAAAAAAAAATTTCCAAGTTTTAATTTGTTTTTTTTCCAACTAATTTCAAATCAAATTTCTCATAATTTTTTCATATTTTTTATTCTATTATTTCATATTTTTTATTTTCTTTTTGAATTTTTATTTTTCTTATAATCTTGAAACAACAGAATTGAAAACTTTCAAAAATCTTAATTTTTCAGAATTTTCAAAAAAAACTTTGCGAAAATTCAATTTAATTGTGTATTTTTTTTAAATTAACGAATAAAAATTTTTATTAATAATTTTCGCACAAAAAAACATTAATGTGACTCTTTATAAAATTCAATAATTATTTATCAATTATTAAATTAAAATACTTTGAAAATTCGATTTGTTAAAAAGTTTTTAATGAAATTCTTTAACAAATTTAATTAATTTCAGTTGAATTTCACAAAATTTTTATTAATTCGATAATTTTTTTTTTAATTTATTTACTTACTATACTATATTTTTAACTAATTCAAATTTAGAGAACAGTATAAATATCTATGAAAATTTAAATAAAAAGCGATGTTTTAAAAAGAAATTAAAATAATAATTTTTTTTTTCAATTTGGTGAAAAAATTCCCGGCTATTTCCCGGTTTTCCCGATTAGTAGACACCCTGCTAAGGTTCTCTAAGGTTGGTCGGTGCTTTTTTGTTGCTTGTCATTCTTATTTTAGGGAGTAAGGCACTTTCAGTCTTTTTCGTGTTTTGGGAGATGCAATTTTTGATTGGAATTTTGTACTGTTTAGCTAGAGAGGAGGGACGGTTATTTTTTTGGAAAGAGGGATGGTTATTTTTTTGGAAAGAGGGATGGTTATTTTTTTGGGAAGAGGGACGGATATTTTTTTGGAAAGAGGAATGGTTATTTTTTTGGAAAGAGGGACGGTTATTTTTTTGTGAAGAGGAATGATTATTTTTTCGGGAAGACAGAGGAGAGAGAGTTTGTCTCCTACGATGGAAAGAGAAAAGATTAAGAGCAAGGTGGTGGTTGTTGCTGCTGTGAGGGAAGGGGCGCTGCAACAGAGGTCGCAGCAGCGACATAAGATGAAGGATCGGAAGGGTCGAGAAGGGGTGGTGGAGGCGGCAGATTTCCACCGGCGCCTCTACCTCTCCCCCGACCTCTTCCACGACCTCGGCCTCGCCCCCTCCCCCTTCCGCGTCAACTCCGCCTTTCCGGCATCCCTATATTGCTCGTCGTTTTCTCGAGGAACGCTAAATGACTCGGCAGGGAACCGCTTCCGACACCTCCGACTGGGAAGCCTGCAGCTCGGCCGGCCTGGCCCATGAACATGCCCTGCTGACCGACGGGGACGCCGACTCCCTGCATACCTGGCGGAGGCGGTGCTCCGGGTCCCTGTTGCACCTAGAAATTTAAATACAAGTTCTCATATCTAACTTCCGAAAAATTACATCAAAAATAATAATTTAAGTGTTCGGTGGTCTCTTAAATTTATAGGTTATGTGCGGCATAAAGTTGTCGCCCGACAAAAACGGCCCTGTTGTGAAAAGGTAAACAATCATTTCCGAACAAGTTTTTCTCTCCACACCGAAAAAAAAATATTCTTGTTTTGAGAGTCGACAATTCCTCTTCTAAAGTCCTCTTACATTTTATTCTTGAATTAAGAATATTACTCTTCACTGGAGACTATTCCTCTAGTTTTAAGAGGAATTACTCTTAAGTGGAGAATAATCCTCTTAAAATAAGAGGACGTTTTTTGAGCCATATACAAGAGGAAAATTTGCATTGAAATAAGAGGAATTCTCTTAAAACAAGAATATTTTTTTTCAGTACCAGAAGTAACAAAATCTGCCGTCTAACAATGGACACATATCTTCTAAATTACCTAAATCCTAAGATAATTCACCTAGATCCGGTAAAGATCCTGGTGGCAAGTGGACTAACTAAAAAATGCCATTAGCGAGAAAAGGACAGAGGTACAAACATTATATTTCTTACTCTTGGCATTTTTTAGTTAGTCCACTTGCCACCAGGACCCTTGCCGGATCTAGGAAAATTATCTTAGCTAAATCGAAAAGATTTTTTCATCCCTGAAAAAATTAAGAAAATACGTGTCGATGGTTCGTGGACAGATTTTGTAAAAACTTTTCGGAAATGATTGTTTACCAAATTAACGTCATTTAAACCACTGACGTTTTTGTTGGCCGATAACTCTGAATAGAAACGACATAAATGGATCAAAAATGAATCTTTTTCGAGAGAATAGATTGGATCTACAGAATGCAATTAAAATTTAAAGAAGCAAATCAGACTTCGCACTCGATAATTAATTTCAAAAAAGTAGCTTTCAAACTAAAAAAAGTAGTAAAAAAGTAGCCATCGAAAAATTAAAATTGACGACCAAAAAAACTCGTTTTAATCACTTCACAAAACTGACAAAAATTCCATTCTATTGTTTATTTTCCTAAATTTTTTCTAATTTTCATCAAAAATATTTACTTCTTTCTTATCCTGCTAATAAATTCAATTCCTGCAACGAATTTTATTATTCGCGAAAAAATTTAAATATTTATAAAAATAATTTAATTCTTGCGAAGAATTTTATAAAAATATTTAAACAATTAATTTCTTTGACTAATTTTAAGCAAATTCTAATTTAAATAATTGAATTCCTGAGAAATTTTTATGATTCATGAAAGTAATTGAATCGTTACGAAGAACTTTACAAAATTTTTTTAAATAATTGAATTCTGTTTGGAAATTTTATGAAAACAGTAGATATTGAAAATCATTGAATTGCGAAAAGTTTTTAAAAATAATTAGATTTTACAAAGAATTCTATTAAAATTTTTTGACAATAATTGACTGTCTGTTTGGTATTTTATTAAAGTTTTTTGAAAATAATTGAATTCTTTCGAACGATTTTATTGGAATATTTTTTAAATAATTGAATTTCTAAGATGAAATTTATTATTTTTAAAAATAATTAAATTGTTATGATGAATATTCTTATTTATGAAGACAATTGAAGTTTGCAACAAATTTGATTAAAATGCCTCAAAATAATTAAATTTTCATGAATAATTTCGCTATTTCTCGACATAATTGATTTTTTCGAAGAATTATTTATGTAAATAATTGAATTCTTATTTAGAATTTTATCAAAATTTTTTTTTTAAATTCAATTTTCATGAGAAATTTTATTTTTTGTGAAAGTAATTGAATTGTGAAGAATTGTATAAAAATTTTGTTAAATAATTGATTTTTTCGAAATTTATTTAAAAAAGGTTATTCTAAATTAATTAAATTCCTGTGGGAAATTTTATTATTTATAAGAATAATTGAATTTTGGATGAATTTTATTAATTTTTTAAAAATTATTGAATTCTTTTGCGAAATTTCATGAAAATAGTAGATATTGAAAATAATTGAGGGCTCGGATCGAAGAACCGACGCTTCGCAATGTTCTGAAGCGTCGGTTCTTCGATCCGAGCCCTCAATTGAATTTTGAATATTTTTTGAAAATAATTGAATCGTTTTAAAGAATTTGATTATAATTTTTGAGAATAGTTTTTTGGTTTCTAGTATTAACAAATTTAAAGTAATGGAAATTCTAAAAAAAAACAGAAATAGTAGCTTTTAGTGGCTGAAATCTAAAAAATATCCAAATAGTAGCATAACGTAAAAAAAGTAGTAAATAATAGGTTTTAGTAGATGAGTGCGAAGCCTAATGCAAACAAAACATTTTATATCTTCAAAAACATATTTAGAAGTCATCAGTCAAGCCAATCCAATATTTACTTTTGACTTTCGCCATATTGAATCCGTCATTTTGAATTTTGAAAAACTGATGTCGAATTTATAGTCAACGAAGTCAAAAACCACCGAGCCAAATAACTTTAAATGAATTGTTAATGACATTCTGTTGGTTAAACCAATCGGGGCGCATGATTATTCCCCAAATGTCATTTTTCCGAAATGTCATTTTACCGAACTACACTTTTGCGAATAGTCATTTTTGCGTAAAGCCAATTTTGCGAAATGTCACTTTTGCGAATTGTCATTTTTTCGAAAAGCTATTTTTGCGAATTGTCATTTTTGCGAATCGCCATTTTTACGAATTGTCAATTTTCCGAAAAGTCATTTTTGCGAATCGCAATTTTTACGAATTGCCATTTTTGCGAATTGACATTTTTGCGAATTGTCATTTTTGATAAATGTAATTTTTGCGAATTGTCACTTTTGCGAATCGTTATTTTTACGAATTGTCATTTTTGCGAATAGTCATTTTTGCGAAAAGTTATTTTTACGAATTGTTATTTTTTCGAATTGTCATTTTTGCGAATCGCCATTTTTACAAATTGTCAAATTTCCGAAAAGTCATTTTTGCGAAAAATACAATAGAAAACTTGTAGGTCTATAAATTCACTATTGTATTTTTCGCAAAAATGACAATTCGCAAAAATAGCTTTTCGCAAAAATGACAATTTGCAAAAATGACAATTCGTAAAAATGACTTTTCGCAAAAATGACTATTCGCAAAAGTGCAGTTCGGTAAAATGACATTTCGGAAAAATGACATTTGGGGAATAATCATGCGTCCCAAACCAATCATCATTAACTCGGGGCGAGTGCCGAAAATAGTTCATAAGCCTCACCACTCTTTTCTTATATTCTCAAAAAAGATTTATCCATGTTTGTCGTTTCTATTCAAAGTTCTAAGACTTTGATACAAAATTACCCACTGTGATGTCCTTAACCAATTTAAGAATAATCTACCGTTTAGCTAAATCCTTAGGCAACAAACAACCAGCACCCAATAGACTTGAGGAAGGATCCACACTTCTGAATGTCGATTCCTATTGTGGATTCTCTCTGATTCTCCTTTTTTAACCCCCACCAAAATTAACTTATGGGAGATTCGACTGCACTCATGTGCAACGATGTCTTTGAGTCCACAATAGACCAATATAATATCTTGAGCAATGCATACCCTCTGCAGAGCTTACAATAGAAAAACAATGTAAATCCCTACAGAGGCTGTGCATTGCTCAAGATAAATTTGTCTATTGTGGACTAGTACTTGCATAGACATTAGCGCCAATTGTAAAAGCTCCTTTAAAGAAGACTCGCATTTGAATTGTTTGGCCCTAAGCACAATAAATCCGCCAACGTGATGCATGAGATAGAAAAGGATACATGTATATCCCTATCTTTTTCTATCTCATGTATTATGTTCGTAAATCTATTGTGTTTAGAGGTTTTTGCTAGTGTAAGCGACTTTACCACTATGACAATTATTTTCTTTATTAGACATTTAGCTAAACGGCGGATTTAGCCTACGACGTTTAAACATATATTTTCTTTAAATTCCTTTAGTTTTACGTAACCTAATTATCAAATTAAAAAAATACAAACGCAGAGAATAGAAGGTAAGAATTATTTCATCAGATGTTCATAATTATTACGATTTCATTCAAGTTTATGTACCGTTAACTCAAATCAATTGATTCAGCTGATTATTGTAAATTTAGTTAGTTTACCCAGTACTCCAACGCAAGCTAGAATTTAATCCTTTATATAAATAGTATTTACACTTTCTCTAATCTCTTGCTGGAATATTGCTGTCTTCTTGTTTGTCGTCAAAGTCCACATTGAACAACACAATTTTCAGGAAGATAAAGTACACATTGAATTAAAATTGAATTTGTATGAAATCGGATCAGCAGTCAGCTTTTTTTTACTGGTGTTGCCCATGAACATTGCCACATCCCAAACAATTTAATATCATCAACTGATTGCGTTGGTACATTGACTCTTTTATAGCTAAAAACACAGCATTCTTCATAATTTAATATCTGTGACAATTTTACTTGCTTCTTATTGTTTTTAGTATTTAAGAGACGATGCAATTTCGCAACTTCAGTAAGAATTGTTAATGTTAACTTCTTTCAAATTTAATATTCAGTAAGAATAGTTGTTCCAGAAATGTATTTTTTTACTTCAGGATTCCATGATGAGAAGAATTAATGAAAAGTAATCAAATCGAGCTGTATTTAGGTATCAAAAGCAACTTCTGCAAATACAGTTGGATTTTTAGCTACTGAATCGAAACTAGCAGTTATTGGTTAATTAATGACCATGTTTCATATTTCAAGAAAAGGGTTTCAATTTTGAATCTTTAAGTCACTTGGTTCTATTTTATAAAAAGATTTCTTTTGAATTAAAAGGAATTGTTGATTCTTGCGACATGTTTTCTTATGGTGAATCACGTACAGTTGAATGAAACGTAAACCTACCAAAATGTCGACTCGTGTTTTTTATTATTAATTAGAATTAATTACCACACAATCAATCAAATGAAACAAATTTTGGATAAAACTAAAATTCAGCTTACCCTTATT